TGTCCTTATCTATAATTGTTTTCAAAATTATTGTGGGCCCTAATTTTTAGTGTGCTCCCCCGGAACCAAAAGTCTGCTCACGCCTATGAATCTGCTACAAGCATAACTGTTTTAGAATTTACTTATATCTTCTCTATAGTATAAATACCAATTATTTAACTCACTAGAGTTTTTTAATGGAGGCATGTAGTATTATAACATTTATTATATTTTTTTAATTTTCTTTGATTATTTACTTATAATTAATAATTATATACAAATCTCCTCAATATCAATTGAGTACTCAGTGCCCAGTGGCGTAGCCAGGGGGGGAGGGTGCAAGCCGTAAGGGGTCCCCCATTGACCGAGTTTATATAAGCCTATATTATATTATATTAAAAAAAAAATGCAATTTACCATCCCCCTCGCGATTTACAATAATGCTTAAAATGATGGTGTAAAAATCGTTTTCCGGAAACTAAGTAGGTAACATACCTATATTAAATTTATAGTCGGACTTGGTTAACTTGAAGATTTTAAAAAGTTCGAGTATCGAATGATAATACAATAATCGGAAATTCTAGAGACCAGGAAAAAGTTCGAGGTCTTGACGATTTCGAGTTAGGTAACCAAGTTCAACTGTATAATATGATAAATACCAAGACTTAATACATATATAATGGTATTACATGCGAGCGCTCAACTCACAAAAGTGTAATATAAATTTTGTTAAAATATGCTGCCTTTACGATTTTACCACTTGCCAGTAAGTACTAATTTTTAACCTGTAGACATAATAGAATAATATAAATTATAATAATAGTGTACTAATTACTATTTAGTCACTGTCCATATGATAGTATGACACTATGACCCATAGATAAAAGAGGAATGGTAATGGATAGGCAATGTTAATGCATTCAACGCAAGAGATAGAGGTCACAGTCCGACAGTCTTTAATGTGGAAGAGGTCCTGCAAGTGAACTTTTATTATATACTATCATAATTCATAGAACAATGATATTATGTTATGTTATAAAAATTAAACACGATTTAAGAATTAAGATATTGTATAGTCAGTAGAGTACAGCCCGGTCCTATAAAAATCGGATCGGCCCAGACCAAATATTTAAGACAATTTGTTAAACCGGATCAGACCAATCCCGAAAATATATTTTTCAACCCAAACCAATTTTGAACCATGCTTACAAACTTTTTATAAGCCCGGACCAGCCCAGCTCAGATTTTTATTATTTTTTTTTTAAACCAACCCGCCCAACCCGGGATCATAAGTTTTTAATAAAAACCCGGACCAGGACAAATATGCTCATTGAGTACCCAAACCGGATCATCCATATAAACCAAATTTATTAGAAACTAAATAAAATGTCACTTAAATAATTTCAATTATTGACTACCTAGTACCTAATCATCAAATTAAGTTGAGACAGAAGAAATAAGACGTTAAGAAGAAATATCCATTATTATATAGATAATACATACATTATAATATAAAAAAGACCGGACTGGACCATACCCAGTTATATTAAAAAAACATATAACCAAACCTAACCCATTATAATATGACTGTGCCCCAAACCGAACACTACACCTAAACCAAGAATATAAAATATTTTGACCCAGACCGGACCTAACCCGGATCCGGTCCGGGTTGACCCGGGACCCGGGCTGATCTCTAATAGTCAGTGTATAGCTGCCCAACGAACCAGATCCATTATAAAAGAGCTATTACCATTTACCATAGAACGTGATCCGGTCACTTTTTTCATCTACAGCACTACCGGTCACCGGTGGCAAAGCAAAGTTAAATTAGTTAAAATTAAAACAGAACAATTTACAATATAGAAGCGAAACTCTATCAGCTGATTGGGATTTTGTTTCCCAAAGATCTGAAGTCTGAACCTTCGAAAAACATGGAAACGTTTTCGCTCACTAACATGATGTCAGACCCATAGTCTCCCGTTTATGTAAACGTTTCCCGAAACATAGGTGGGATACGCTAGCAGGGTCGGCTTGTTTACCATTCCCTATTTCACGTATGCCACGCCCCCCTGGAAACCATTTTCAAGGCCACAATCGCCCGATCGGCCAATTCATGGAGTTTCATACCTCGGGTTAAAATAATTAATTAATTGTTAAAATAATTATTGTTTATTTAGGTATTTACATATAATATTCGATAATTAGACATTAGTATACAGACTTCAATAAGATGAGTGTATGACACTTAAAAAAAAATAGTCCACTATTAATGGAATTTGGATTAATTTCTATCCATTCTAGTACTATCAGTACTATCAAAAGCACAGAACGGAAGTGACTCTTTGTTTGTTTCGCACAAATGTGTGTCGCGACCGTTGTCGTTTCGGAACACCAGTAATTGATCAGTTATTGTTTTTTGTTGATAAAAAGGCCCGCTGTTCGCCTGTAAGTTTGTGACCGTGTCACTAACTTTTATCCGTGTTTTCTTATAACGTGTTGTCGCCTCTGTGTTATTATTAATTTCATCATTATTTATTTCCGACTTTCCGAGTTGTCTTACAATTTCCGAAAATCCGATCGTTCGAATTTAAGTCTAGTATCTATATACTTATTCTAGATTGTAACACGGAGCATTACGAATTATTTGGAATTTAGTTTCACCAGCACATCGTGTAAGTATTGGTCGTCGTTTCTTTCTTCGTCGAATCCCATCGTCATGGTAGCCATACATTGATACATATCTAAATTTCTGGAAACACGTTAATACTTAATAGTAATACATAATATAATTATAATTATAATTTTCCCCAATGTGTTCAGTTTTCACGCGTCTGAATATTAAATATTAATGTATTTTGTTATTCAGCTATTGAGTAAATTGTTCGTTCAGTTGTTTCAGTTGTTTGTCATAGTCGCCAATTGGTTGGTACCTACCTAATGAGTTTTCTCAAATAATACTTTTATTTGTTTTCCGAGTAAGGTTGTGGGTATCCTGTGATGTGTTTACACAGTTTGGCAGTATTTAACTCTTATTTAATAATATTTGATTATAATTTGTCATGGTACCTGTTAGAAGAAAAAAATCATTTTTCCTTAAGCAGTTTAGTATTTAAATTTTTAAATAATCATCATATTTATTTTTTTTCACCAATTGTATTCATTATTTAAATCTCGCTTTGGATTAATTACAATAGAATTGAATTTTGTTGAGTATAGACGTATAGTTTTAGTTTATTATTTTAACCATTTTCTAATAATTTGTTTTAAATGTGGTATACAGTAAAAAAGTTCAAGAAAAAAATTATTTAAAATAAATATTTTATATTATAAATAGGTAACCTATACAATTATTTGTTTTACGGTCATTATAATTAGGTAGTTAAAAATAATTAGCAATCATAAACATATTTTTTTTGCTTATAACATGTAGGTTATTTAAAATGCTCAGGACTTTTTTTTTTTATTATTTATATATTTAAGTAATTTACAATTTATACAACATTATGTACAATGGGCAAATTTGATAGTTAATATAATGTGAAATAACAGAGTTTAACACTCAGCAGCACCACCCTACCGAGAAAATTTTGATGTCGTGGTTTTTATTTTTTTTTATTTTAGTAGGTCTCTAGGCCACTGTCTTTTAAGTCTTCTACGTACATTGTCAGGAAGTGAGGTGGAAGAAAGTTGCTTTATTAATGGATTACTGTGAGAGTTTAAGTTGGAGTGAAATTTAGAGTAATGTGCTTTTGCTAATTGATTAAGTGTAGGAATTTTTAGGTCTTTGTGAAGATTATTGTTTGTGAAATACCAAGGAGAAGATGTTATTAATCGTAGGCAGATAAATTGAAAAGTTTGAAGCGTGTTGGTGTTAGAGGGCTTTGCAGAGCCCCATAACTGGATACCATATGTCCAAGCTGGTCGAATTATTGTTTTGTATATAGTAAGTTTATTGGAAAGAGAAAGTTTGGATTTTAAGAGTGGTCTAAGGATATGAAGTCTAGAGTTAACAGTTTTGCATTTATGTTTAATGTGTGGGCTCCAGGTTAAGCGTTTGTCGAGAGTTAGCCCAAGGTATTTAACTTTGTTTGCCTTAGGAATTGTTATATTATTTAATGTGACAGGTGGAGAATCGAGATTACGTAGTGAAAAAGTTACTTGAACAGATTTAGTTTCGTTTATTTTCCATCTGTTTGCCCACAAGCTGATCATATTTAAATGGTTTTGGATCATTTCACTGGCTGTGACGTGGCTTTTGTGGAGGCGGTTATTAGCGTGTCATCAGCGTATGTGCCTAAAGATGTATAAAATGTCTTAGACTTAAAGACACAATTCTATCACAAAACCAATAATTTGTATCAGTAATCGGTGACCCAAATTATCATCCAAAACTAAAATAATTGTCCGTCAGTACCAGGTCTATTATCAATTATCATAAAATTATTAAATGTTTAGTCAAACAGAAAGTGCAGGCACTGTAAAATAATACAACCGACTGCTGCCCGCTGCGGTCAGTGTACCCGTATACTATGACAGTCCTCTCTGTTTGATTGACCCTTAATTATTAAAAAAAATGTTGATTTTTGTTCAAGGCCTTTAATTTAGCCTTTTTTAGAATATGCTCGACTTCAGTAATTAAACTAAGTTCTTTGTGCCATCGGATTATTTATCCACTCGTTTAAAATCTTTTCCCAATATTATTTTAAGATCCTAATATTATCTATATTGTTAAAATATATACTTGATGTAAATTAATAATTTGTGATTACTCAAAGTTCATAGTACAGACTACTATTAGTTCAAGTATATTTTATAAATATCTCAATTAAGGGATAATGAAATATAGTTTTTTTTTTATTCAGCTAGTCACAAGGTTATTATTAAAGTTGTATCAAAAAAAAGATAAAACTAATTTTTTATCATTATTATATTTAAATTGTTTACTTACTTAAATGATTATATAATATATATTTGTAATGATGAAACTTGATATTTTTTTTTCAGGATTAGTACTCATAATGGGGGTTGACACTGAATTAGTAAAAACACATGTTCGCCCTAGGTGCTTTATGGATGTAGCTGTTGATAACATTATTTTGGGTCGTATCGTGTTTGAACTGTTTGATGACTTTTGCCCACTGACTTGTGAAAATTTCCGAGCATTGTGTACAGGTGAAAAAGGCATGGGTAAAACTACTGGTAAACCTTTGCATTTCCAAGGCGTAATTTTTCATCGCGTTGTAAAATCATTCATGGTACAATGTGGAGATTTTTCAACTGGAAATGGTACAGGTGGTGAATCTATATTTGGAGGAACTTTTCCAGGTATGCATTTAAAGTAGTATAAATGTGTTATGAGTAGTTATATTAACATGTTTCATTTCTGTTTCTAGATGAAAACTTTGATTTGAAACATGATCAACCTTTTTTACTTTCAATGGCTAATCGAGGACCAGATACAAATGGTTCTCAATTTTTTATGTAAGTCTCAAGAAATATTTTATAACTTTTTGTGACATATTTGTCATGATTACAAATTAAAATTCATTGATTTTGAATAAATAATTTTTAGAACATTTCAGAAAACAAAAATGTAAAAATTATAATTATAGTTTTTAAAATGTATTTTATCTTCTATACCTATGTGTATTAATATAACTAGATATATATCACACAAATTTAAATATTGAAAACATTTGATAGTTAATAATTATAATAATAATAATATCATTAATAATTTTAGAAGTTATAAGACATAATTATTATTATATTTGGTAAACATTTAATCGTTGATAATAATTTGAAATTGTTCTATATTTTTTAAAAGGTTTGGAACTATACTCTGTTCAGTGAGAGACTGCTCCGCGCACCGACGAACACTGGTTCCCCCACGCAAACGCCCTGCCATTAAGGAACCGGTTTCGGTAGCATGGTGACGCGGAGGGATGCGCAGAATTAGCATGCTCTCTCGCTAAACAGAGTATAGATAGAACTTTCAGTTTTTTAATTTTTTTTTCTAATTCTGAACCAAATTTTTCTTGTTTCCGATTTTTAAAGCAATTGTTCAACTTCTAAAATCTAAACTCATAATTTTCAAGTATAAATGTACAACACTTTAAAATATTTTTGATGTAAAAACTAATAGTACCTATAAATTTGGTATGTCATGTTTAAATTTATATATAAAAAAAAAATATTCAGTAAAAATCAACCTGTTTGTTTTTATATAGTTTATTAATTTCTTCAACCAGACAACCTAAACTTAAAAAAATTAAGTATCTGTGATATAAATATGAAAAATAGAATTATTCACTTCATAGATCGTCCACTCTAGGAAAAATAATAGATGTTTACTAATGTAATTTTGATTTTGTAATTTGAAAATGTGTTGATGGGATCAGTATGTCAGAATAGCCTAATAAAATTTTGGTCGTATGTCATGTGTTTGTTGTAGAACAACACAACCAACTCCTCACCTAGATGGGTATGTAAAATTCTGTTAGTAAATTATAAATATTATGATTAAAGTATTAATAAATTATTTTATAATAGTATACACGTGGTATTTGGAAGAGTGGTTTCTGGTCAGCCGGTTGTTATGCAGATTGAAGAACTTGGAGTTGACAAAAATTCACGTCCACTTCAGGATGCAAAGGTGGTGAAATGTGGAGAGCTTATTTTGAAGTCTAAAATAAAACGTATGTTTACTGATTGTTTTTTTTTTTTAAATTGCACATACAATATAATAATAACAAATTATATTTAAAAATGAGCATGTTTGTGTATAATAGAATCCGAGAAAAGTGCATCTGATAGTGAAACAAGCTCAGGATCGGACGATGACAAAAAAAGAAAGCGAAAGAAAAAGAAGAAGGAAAAGGAATCAAAAAAAAAAACAGAAAAGAAGTATGATTGTATAGTTTTATTATTTTCTAAATTTAATTTAATTTAAACTGTTCTAGATTGGACCGTTTAAAGGATGAAGACGATGATGCTGAAGCAGAAGGTCAGCTACATCCGCTTGTATCTGTTTCTAATATCGATCCTGAAGAAATACCAGCTGGACCACCAAATAGATTTTTGTCTCGAGGTGGTCCTTCATCGATGTTTCTTATGAAACCTCAAAAGGATAATGATGATAGACCAAAGAAAAGAAACAGAATTCGTGGTGTTACAAAATCTGGCCGTATTGTTAAAGGTCGTGGAACTCTCAGATTTCGAACCCCATCTCGTAGCAGGTCTAGAAGTTACACTCCACCCCATTGGAGACAAGAACAAAAAAAAATGATAACTTTCAATGAATTTGAAGTAAGTTCATAATATATTATTTATTATTAATTGTCCAAATAATAAATATTTAATATCATTTTAGAAAATGGAGATTGAACGTAAAGAAAAAGAAGAAGAAATTAAAAGACGTGAAGAGGCCAGAAAAAAGAGGCATGAAGAAAAAGAAAAACGCGAGAAAGGTAAAAATGGACAAACACCTCCAGGATCCCCACCTAAGGTAAATGAAAATTTTTAATTAAAACTAAAACATTTTATTGCATTTGATTTAAATGTAATTTTTGTATAGGGTTCTGAGAAACAAAATGACAAAATTGAAATCGACATGATGGCTAAAATTGAAGATGTATTTCAAATAATACGTGATCGCAACATGAAAAATGGTTCAGATAACCATGATAATAAAAAAGTTGACCAACGTTTAAGTGATATAAAAAAAAAAAGTAAAGGAGAAAATAGAGAAAAGTTCCAAAAAATGGAAAAGAAATTTGAGAGACGTTCTAGGAGCCGCTCACCAAAACGCCGTTTTAATGACAAATTTCGTCGAGATCGAGTTCAAAGAGATGGAAATAGATATCATAAAGATAATAGATATGACAATAAATACATACAAGGAGGACAAAGAAATCGTTCTAGAGATAGAGAACATTTTGACAAGAAAAAGAAGAACCATCGGCGATCAAGCTCTAGTTCTTCGGAAGATCATAAAAATAAAAAAAAAATCAAGAATGAAAATAGTTTTAGTTTATCACCTGAAGTTAAAGATTAAATCCTCATGAATATTTTCTGCTATTTTATAAAAACCTAAAGTAGCTAATTGAACTTTATTTCTAATTTAATTTTATTTTTTACTGTCAATTAACTACCATTTATTATGTATAAGATAATTTGCTACTGAATGATTAGACTAGAACTGCTGAATGTTTTTACATTTTGAATAATAAAAATATATAATGCAGGACACAACATTATTATAAAGTGCATAATATTAGATTGATAACAGAAAATTACACAGACTTCTTAAACATAAAAAAAATACTAAATAAATCTAAAACCCATATAATATACTCCATATTATTACCATAGTGAAATCACTATAAACATAATTTTATTTTAAGATACAATTTTTTCGAATGAAACGTGTATTATGTGTAATTTAAACAATAATTTAATTTTATATTCTATTCATAGCTTGGCGTTTTTCATTGTAAGAACTTCTTTTTAAACAACCAGTCCCTTGATTTATAATATTGTCGACAAATACATTTAATCAATACATCTATAATATGAATTATAATAATATATTGTTTTATTATAAAAAAAATACAAAAAACAAATTGTTTAAATGAACCATCTTTATTGATAGTTTAATGTAAAAAAAAAAAGGTATGAATTTATCAAGTATAATTTAATTATTATTTAAATTATGTAACAAAGACTTGAAATATTTTTTAGTAACCAGTATTTAAAGGTGAGAAAACGTCTTCATTTGTGGCATCACCACGTTTACTCGTATCACAGTTATTAGTTCCAGGTTGGTTGGGCTGATTTCCTGGTGAAAAATTGGAAAATGAATTATAACCTGGTTTGCCATAATTATTACCATTATTGTTAGCATTAGGAGAGACTTGTACTCCCTTTCCTGAATTTGGTAAGTTGGAATTTTGAAACTGCCCTTTTGGAACAAGTGTAGAATGTTTTTTTTGGTTTCGAATTTCATAACTAGGGTCTGATGGCGAAGAAGTACTTGTTTTGCCTTGTTCGACATCTCCACCATTTTTGGAAGTGCAAGGCCCTATTCTTTGTCCATAACCTGGAAGTGAACTGGAATTTTCCTGACCCAAACTTTGTGTGGCCAAATCATTTTGACTATAACCTAGTTGAGCTGAAGCTATATTATCTCTATTTAAAGAATTAGGCTTCACGCTGTTTTCTCCGTACGATTTTGAATCTTGGGGTGCTTCTTGCGGGTAAGCTCCATTTGTATTTGAATTTTGATTAAAGCTATTTCTAGTAGTAGATAATGACTGAGATCCTGCGGGACCATAGTTATATGGCCGTCCTCCTTGAGCTGTGCTCGGTCTATTTTGTCCAAAACCGTTCAATTCGTTTGACGAACTTCCTTGGTAATATTCGCCGCTTGAAGATGGAACTGGACCACTTTGCCCGTAACCATGTTCACTAAGAGATGATGGTTGATATTTAGAATGACTATAGTTGTTTTGCGTACTTGGACGGCTTTCACCAAAACCATTAGGACCATTCGATGGTTTACCTTCGTTATATCCATCATTCGCTGGTCCATTCGATTGATTTTGGACGGGATTTCTTCCATTTGTGAAAGGCTGAGAAGGTCCAGGTGTTGGTCCGTAGCTATTGGACAGCTCATAGTTTTGTTGATCTTGATTAAATCGATTATACGCTGGAGAAATCTGACCATAGTTCCCTTCATTTCCAATTGAATGCGATCCCGACTGTCCAAAATTGTTAGAACTTTGTAATTGGCTTTGTGGGTTTAAATCAAACCCGTTCTCGTAATTTGAAGAACCCTGTCCCTGATTGAAATTTTGAACCTCCGATGAACCCTGGCCGTACGAATTCTGATACTTTACTCCTGATGACTGTACTCCATTACTGGTTCCTTTAGAGTTGAGACTTTGAGAGCCAATAATGGAAGTATCACCAACTTGGTTTTTATTTATTCCTGTAAACTTTTGATTGTACCCGTTAGTCGGACTTTGTTCAAATCCATTATTAATTGGCAATGATTGACTAAAAGATTCTCCAGAATGAGGTAAATCCTTGGAATTCAATGAAAATGAATAGGTTTTTGGTTTTTCAAAATCATTTTGTCCATAAGATTGAGTTGTTGTTGAGACACCTTGATTTGATTCACTAGGGTTTGGTCCATATCCGGAAGACGATACTTCTTTGCTATATCCTTCAGCTTGAAAACCACGATCATTGGAAAACTCATTTTCTCCATAATTTCCATTAATGATATTGTTGTTGGACTGCGATGTACTTTTAGTTATTGGATTATCTTTTGAGTGAAAGTTTGGAACTGAGCTTGGAAATCCTACTGAACCAATAGAAGACGGATTGTTTGAGATATCTATACTCTTTTCACCGTTAAACTGTGTGTTGGGCCTATTTCCATTTCCAATTTGACTATATAATTGATTCCCAGTTGTATATTGTAGGCTATACGAGTTGGGTGCTGTGTTACCATAATAGCTGTTATCTATAGAAAATGGTAGACCTCCGTTTGGACCAACGTTTCCGTTACCCCCTTGACTGTAAGGGTTCTGACCACCAATTCGATTATTATCTTGCAGTGAAGGTTTTGATGTAATCAAATCTACGTTACCATAACCACCTGCCATATTCCCAATTGTACCTTGCTGGCTGTACTGATCGCCCTCTGCGGTTGGGTACTGACTAAATTGACTAGCTGCCGTGGCTCCATTATATTCAGTCGGACCTTGATTTTGTGCAGTATTCAATAGCTCGTTTTGTCCATAACCGTCCTCCGTTCCGGTTTGTGCAGCAAAATCATTATTAGTTGGTATCGATGTTGTACCCAATGAACTACCATAGTTATTGTTAGTGCCTGGTAAATTTACAGCACTAATATAATCATTATTCTTATTCAAAATTTGTCCGAAATTGTTTTCTCCTGGTGATACAGTATTGTAACCATTACTCTGATCTAATGATGACCCAACAGGTCCATTCAATGTATGATTACTATTATCATATGATCTTAGAGTAGTCTGGACACCACTTGCATCATCAGTGGTTTTGGACGATGGACCATAGTTACTATAATCTGATGTTGGACTTTTTGCAAATGTGTCCTGGACGTTTTCAACTTCTCCATAACCATTGTTATTACTGCCAAAATTATTTGACACTTCTATCTGTCCTCCAAAACCACTAGATGCGATGGAATCTATCCTCGGTGGCAAATACATACGGGATGGATCTATAAAGGCATAACGTTGACAATTATTATAAAATAAAGTAATAAATACCAAAATTAAGATATTATCATACAGCTATGTATTTGAAAGGTATCATCCCGTTTCGCCGAGTCCCACTTTGCACAAAAAACAGTTTTATTGGTAATAATAAATCCCATTTGGCCGAATCCTATTTTTCCTAATCCCATTTTGCCGAAAACCCCAGGTTTTTACTCATCAAAGCTTGAGTAAATATGTTATATTTATATTATAATATATTATATTAATATTATAATATATTCACATTCATATTTATTTTTTTTAGTAAATATGCACTAAAAGTTAAACACAACTTTACATTCTTCTCTTTACATGTGTTTCCTACGCTTTTGCAGAAAATCGATGTATTATAAAAACGGGAAGTAAGCTATTTCAGGTTTCATCGTTGCGAAAACTTCGTTCCGTTATCTTATCGCTGATAAAGTGACAATAATAATCTACAAATATTACACATATAATGATGGGTATACGCACAGTCACGTTCTTTAGTTTGCAGTCCCCTTTTCCGCTCGTGTCAAATAAGTTTTGTATTTTAATAATTAACATGACGAATTTTGAGCTTGATATTCTGTCCCCAAAAAAATGTAATCGAGCTCCAAAAATTAGAAAAAAGTACAAAACGTTGGAAGACAGACTAAAAATTGCAAAAGAGCGGTAAATAATATTTAATTTACTATACAATTATAATATATTAATTCCTACAATTATATTTTAAATTTCAATTCAGACTTGGAAATGGACAAATAACAACTATGGAATATCTAGTTGCGATCATCTATCACTTTCATCTTGAATAAAAAAAAACTTTTGACGAATGTTTATATATTTTTTACTAAATATGTAAAATGATATATTTTTTTTAGTGTTTTTAGTCTTGTGTCTTATATGACTTTATATGATTTTATTTGATATTTTATTTTATTTTCTATGTGAATTTTTAACCCAACAATACAAATAAAATTAATATTTTATTTATAACTTTTTTTTTAACATACAACGAAACAAAATTGTATTTAATTAGGATTCGGCGAGATGGATATCGGGGTTTCGGCAGGTTTCGGCAAGATAGGTTTTCGGCGAGATGGGATTCGGCGAAACGGGTCTAAATCATTTGAAATTTGAAAAAGATGCCTCCAAAATAATGCTATTTTGTAAGTTATTGTCTTCTGGAATTCTTAATTGGGGCATTTGGGGACGGTATAATTTATTATAATATTTCATTCCATCTACGAATGAGAGATTTTTACTGTAAACGTTAAAATGTGTATAAAAGTACACAACTATACAAGTTAACCTATGCTCTATATTTATTAGATATTTATGAGTTTATTTTTATTATAGCCTATTTAATCGGAAATTGTAAATACACTTTTTTCGTATAAGGTTTGGTCCCTGTGACCAGTGTGACCCTATCTATGTAATAGAGTTAGGTAGTATGTATATTAATAATATGTATATATTATAGCCATATAGTTATTTATATTATACCTAAACTTCATCTGCCGGAATAACTACATTACATTTTGAAATGGAATTATATATGAATTCATCTAGTTAGGTACCTATCTAGAGAGTCTAGTGTCTTAGGTGCCTACCTACAATCACGGACTGTCGGACTATGAAAAAGAAGATTGGAAATTAGCAACTTTTTAACGGTTCCGAAGTGCCTCCTCTGGCAGCTGGCGAGGGATTGGGTTCGACGATGTTTGTATTTTGCAGACATTCATAGCACTACCCGGGTAAGTCCATACAAGTCAGAAATTCAGAAAACCTATATATACAGTAAAATTGACTTTACGCATTTACAATATTTATTTATTTATTTATTTATTTATTTATTTTTTAATTGAAATACGGGACGTGCCCAATTACATAGAATGTACATAAATTAGGTACATAAATAAATAGTCATAACATAAATAGTCGGGCGATCCTATACCTATTATTATAGTGTAATAAAGGCATCTGTGATTTACAATAATATACAATTTTACAAGATTATTTTTAAGATAGGAACAAATTAAAAGTTGGTAATATTACACCAAGTGGATAGCGTTAAGTGTTCGTATATTATGTTCTATGCAGTGTATCTACGAATTATTGGTAATTCGGTATATGGAGAGCGAAGAAAATAAAGATACCTAGATATTTTCGACCAGGCACCCGCTGCCCGCCCACTATATCGTTCCTAGTCTTCTCTATCTTCCACAGTCCGATTTGGAGGTAACGAATAACTTACCCTGCCTACAATCTAAGTCCTAAGTACAGTGCCTATAGGCTATAGCTACCTAATACGCCGAAACCACGAAGAGTCTGGTTTTTGTTGTGTTACTGTTTTTAAAATCAATTTACATTGTCCCGTCTGTGTTGGAAAAAGTTGAGTTTATGTTTGTTTTGTTTTCTTATCCCGTGTGGAAGTACTGTTTACTATTTACTAAACATCAAAATCCCAATTATTAGAGCTAAAAAAGTATTTTTTAAATTAATTTTTTATGTATTTTATACTTAATGTTGTTTAAAAGTCTTGTTTATGAATATTAATAAAAATGATTAAATTCATAGTTTGAAACGATGATAAGACTATATGAGAGTATAGTAACTATAGGAGAGCGAGACAATTCATGACAGACCCATGCCTGATTCATATTAATATATTATCATAAATTCCCAATTATTGTCTACTTTATTACTATTTACTGTCAGTTCTAAATTATAGATTTTAATAGTTTATATAGGCACAAGACACCTAAAATATGAGCTTATAAGCCGTTTATACTGATATAAAATATTACCATACCTATTGGCGCTTGTCTTTCCTTTCTTTGAAATCCATCCACATAGGATTTGGTGAAATGATTATATGCTTTGGTTTGAAAATCGCATTTAGAGAATACAACTTCGTGAATTAGCAGCACCTGAGGCAAACAAAGTTAAACAATTGTTTAATATTATTCAATAAAACAATGATAATGCATTTTTTTATGTTTTAGTTAGAGGTTCTAGTTTATTGTTAATTTACTTTAAATTTAGATTTCTCAATGCCATTTGTGATTTTTTGTTCTTGTTTTGATGTACCGACAAAATGATTAATATTTCAACAACAACAATATAATACATTCTACACTACCTACTATAATACATGGGTGTGTTTTCATTTATCAATTAAAAACTACATAATAGAAATTATCTAATTAAAATTAAAAAAATAGTTAATTGATATAGAAATATGACGTTATAAACTTATATCTCTAAAATAGTTATTAACTAATATAATATTGTATAATAATATAAGATACCTAGGGTTATAGGTATTAAGTAGGCACAGACTATACAGTATACAGGTACCCGTGTCCTGTATTAACAATTATATTCTAACCACTTATAAGGTCACTTTACTCTAACATTAATAATTTATTATAATATTATTACTATAATCTCATCAGTCATCATAGTACCTATATGTATAACGACACCGAGTAATATACATGGGTTATATACCTAAAGTATACTTAGGTCTTAGACACATACCGTTTTAGGTAAGAAGTTATAAAAAAAGTTTAATAATATTCTTACAATATTTAAAATATAATTTATATTATGATTGTATTCAATTTTCAAACATAAGCTATTATGAATTTTAACTATAAAATAAATTTGCAAATTTCGAGATTTTGACGAATTTAGTTAAAATTGTAACTTCAAACTATTGAATTATTGTGGATTTCTATCAACATTTTTTTTAATTTCAATATTAATAATTATTACATAACAACTTATGAGGAACCTTTTATACAAATGTTCAAGCCTTTTTAAGGAGCATACAATTTTTTATCGACATTTATGAAAAATAAAACTAAAAAAAAGGTGGGCAAGTGGGTGTCGCTCTGCTGTACAGTAGGTTACAAGTGGGTCACTGTATAATGGATGGTATTAAATTTGAATTCAATGATATATTACCATTGTATAAGAAAAACGATTCTGAGCGGAGACTGTATGTCAGTCTAGGTATTAGACGTATTATATACTTATCTATGGTATTAAAAAAAATTGACCTATAATAGGTACCTATAATAAATTCCAAATTAATCATATCACAATATCCATTAGATACTTATAACACGTGATACTATCATAGATATATAATAGTACACTTTAGAAGTTTCAAGTACCCACGAATAATATTATTCAATCACAAAAAAATAACTAAAATAGTTATTCTAGGTTTTTTAATATGTAATTTCATCCAAATTTGAATTTCAAATGTCTGTAAAAAATAAGAGTGTTCATATATTTTTTAGATTTTTTGGTTATAGTATGAACTATTTATGAGAACCTTTGTGTTGAATTTGTAATCCTTATTCCTTACCTATAAAAACTGAACATTTTATAATTTATTAATTACAATGATTAATAATTTTCGAGATTTTGAAAAATTCTGTCAAAATTCGATGTTTAAATGCTTGTAAAAAAAAATTGTGCCTATGTATTTTTAATATTTTTCAACTGATATTGTAACAATATATCAGGAGCCTTGTATTAATTTTTTACACTTTTTGGCCCAACAGATAAAACTTTATTGATTTTTATAGAAAAAAAAAAACTAAAAAAATTGAAAACTGAAAATGTCCATAAACAGCTCAAAAAGAGTCAAAATATTTTCAATATTTACCAAATATGGTGTATAGAAAATGCTTATTTAAACATTCAGTGAAATTTTCATGTATCTACAGTTGTTCGTTTTTGAATTGCAACAAAATAAAGAAATCGCTACATGAGTAATCGAGTGAATATCCAATGTTGTAAAAATTTGAATTTCAAACGCTCATAAAAATTTAATTTGACTGTCCGGTAGAGATTTTTTTATTGATAAAGGTAGATAATCTTATAAGGAATCTTGTGTTTCATTTTCAAATCTTAGATTTAAAAAGAAAAATTTTTACGAATTCTTAACTCAAAATAATTTGCTAATTTTCGTGATTTTTCCATATTTTGTCAATTTTTGAACTTTAAATGCTTATAAAAAAATTTTTGCCTTTGAAACAATATATTAGGAGCTTTCTATTAAATTTTCAAGCTTTTGCAACCAATAAATAAAATTTTATTGATATTTTTAGAAAAAAAACTAAAAAAAAATGGAAAATGAAAATGTCCCTAAACAGTTCAAAATAAATCAAAATATTTTGAAAATGTTATCGTGTATAGAAAATGCAAATATAAACAACCAGTGAAAATTTCATGTATATACGTTCATTTGTTTTAGAGTTACACCAATAACCAAAATCGATTTTTTGGAAAACCAATTTTGCGTAAAAATTCCCGTTTTTCCTTAATTTTTATGTTGTTTTTCCCGGCGCTTGTGAAAACTACTGGGAAATTTAACCCCCCTTTTGACCCCCCAAAGTACCAACTAGATTCACTTTCCTATCAGAAAAGCTACTGATGAAGAAAATCCAAGCACTTTTACTGTCTTAAAATGTGATGGCAGACACAAAAAAAAAAATATATAAAAAAAAAAATATAAAAACATACATCATTGTAAAACCAATACATTCATCGCTCCGCTCAGAATCTAAAATATACAAATTAAAATGTCAATAAACAGCTCAAAAAGAGCCAGGATATGTTTAAGAGTTTAATACTGTATTTACCATGCATATAAAATGCTAATATAATATTTGGCGAAAACAATACAATTTTCAGAGAATCTAGACCGATTTTAAGCTATTTATACCATGAACCTTATCGATTAAGCCGATTAAGGTATAATAATTATTGGTACCTATGATACGGTATGATTTAACATAATAATAATATAAATCGATTATATGTATAACTACTACCTAATTATGCTGGATTGGACAAACAAATTAATTATTTAATGTGATATATGTAGAAAAACTTAGGGGAATCTTGAATGGACATTTAAAATCTTAGATATTCACAAAGCAATTTTTATGAACTTATAACTTGAAATAATTTGCCAACTTTCGTGAATTTTATGAATTATTGTCAAAATGTTAACTTCAGACGCTCATAAAAAATAATCTGGATTTGCTCTCAAGTTTTTTTTGATTTCCACCAACATCAACTTATTAACTTATTGTATTACCTTTTCAAGTTTTTGACTGACCAAAAAATATTGTGACAATAGTTAAAAAAAAAAACTAATTAAACTAAAAATTTTCTTACACAAATAAATAGCTTAAAAATAGTTGCATTATTTCGAAAATGTTATGGTGCATGGAAATTGCTAATATAAACATTTAGTGAACATTTCATCATTTTCATCTATATATTCGGTTATTTTTTTTAGATTTACACAAAAAAACAAAATCGATTGGATCAAAATCTAGTTTTGTGAAAAAATCTCAGTTTTTCCTTAATTTTCTATTGATTTTCCTAACGCTTTTGAAAACTTTTGAGAATATTTTGCTTTTCAAAAAAAAAAAAAAACACATTGTAAAACCAAAACATTCTTCGCTCCGTTCTAAAAGTACAAAAACAATTAGTAACCTACTCTAGTGCAGGGGCGTCATTTCAACTTTTCTTTTGTTGGTGCCAACATGTTTGCAGGCCATTCAGATCATTACCAGGCCACACAGAAGACTTTTTTATTTTTTTTTGAGGGGGGGCGGTTCAAGTGGGGACAAAAACTGTAGAACATTTGTATAATTTATTTAATATGTCACTTATATAAATATGAAAATATCACAATATTGTTTCTATTTTTGATGAACTATGTGTAGGTACTTTTAATGTATTTATTTTATATTGTGGATACCAGTGTACAGTGGTATTTACACTTGGTAAATAAATGTGTGGGAATAAATCATCTTTATAATAAAGTACCTAACCGAACCTAACCTACACATTTTTATCCCTTCATACTCAAAATATATAATATAGCTAGCTTGATAAAACCAGAAATTTATTTTATTGGTATCCTTCTTCACAATATTTGTGTTATAATTTTATCAATTATAATATTGTGGGACCACAAAATCACATCAGACATTCTTGGAAAATAAACATTAGTACAATACATTTTTTTTAATATTGAAAAAATATAAAATATATATAATAAAAACACTTAGGTATATCGGCGATTATATTTATTGTTGGCAGGCCAAAGAAGGCATTTTAAAAAAAGTTGGTGCAAATGTACACCCTGCACCCCCCAATTGACGCCCCTGCTCTAGTGACTAGCACCTATATTTTAAAGTATTTTAAATAGAAATTAATTAAAAATCAATAAATTACTTGTATTAGAACTTATTCCGTATTCGATATTTACTCAATTCAAAAAAGCACCTACCTAATTAAAATAATACAAATAATATATTACTGCCCAAAAATCACTTCTTTACCAAACATATTATTTTTTTTATTTTTAATACAATGCCTCGACTGCATTGTCATTGGCGATTATTTTATTTATTGTATTCTTAAGTATAACTTTAATTTTATATATGGATACACAAATACCCAGTCACCCAGAAAATGTTTATTTCAGACATTTCAGTATAGGTACCTAATGAATGAGTTTTTATTTGAAATCCCATGAACTGCCAACTTATTGAACTACCTATATGCCCTGTTCTTTTTTTCGCCAAATCCTTTTCAATATTTATAATACAAAGGTCGTTGAATCTATTTTGATGTTAAGGCCACCTATATAGAAGTTAATAAATATTTTGGTAGACGGTAACGGTAGACCTCAACAGAAATCTGCAGAGTTTTCAAATCTTCCAAGGAGATCTTTTCTAATTGTATTGTAAAAAAGTTTTTAACAACAGTAATTTCAGGTTTTAAATTATCACAATTGATGGGTAGGTACCGAATAACTTTTTAAAAAGGTATATATATATAACTACCTAACTACCTATGACATTATGTATTATTATTTATTATTCATATTTTATTCATTTTGATTTAGTCAACCATTAAAATTGGATGTAGTATGTAATTAGTAGCTATAAGCAGTGTCTTAATAAAATTAATCAATTCTGCATTATATAAACTACAAAAAAAGATGAATATAATAAAGTCATTCAAACAATAAAGTTGAAATCAAATGTGTTGTACGAAAATCAGGGCATTTAAGGAGCTGCTATTTGCTATTCAACTAAACACATTTTGAAAAACGTATCAAATATATTTATTACATAGTAATATAGTATTATAGTGGTAAATTAATAATTTACTTTTTTCTAAGTTTAGTTGAAAAATATTATCTTTAATTATTAGTTATTATTATAATATATATTAGGTACTGACGTACTGTATAATATTATTAATTATTATGTATTTTCAACGAAACCTGGATAGCAACGTGAATGACGGCTGATAAACAAACGCTGCTTGTTTTAATTTATCATGCTATAAAATCCGATGATAAGTTTGTAAAATTGCACAAATTTAATTTTCAGCTAAAAATATTTTTTTTTAATGCATTTCAATTTAAAAGTTATTAATGTCACAATTATGACAGTTATTATAAATTTAGGCATTTTATAGGTATTTGAAACTTTGTAAGGGCCTATAAAAATGGCTTAACCTTTATTTAAAACATTCGGGAGGAAGGAGGGCTAAGGTGAACATAACCTAACCCCAAATCCACCTACTTCCACAGTTCCACCTATGGTACCGTTGACATATGAACGGTTTTAAAATGTATCGCTGTTGAATATTGAAAAACCATTTAACAAATCAATTATAAACTGAAGATATTATACTTTAAAATATTCAACTGAAGACAAGATAATATTGTTTTAATATAAATATGTATGTGCCTATATACTAACCGATTTATTTATTTATCTTCTCCTATCAGATCCAAGTGAAGACGAATATCAACCCTAAACTACCACTCAAAATACCTATTAACTAACATTAGCATAATAGCATGTATAATGTATATATCATAATCACTATATCACTAACTAATTAAAGTAGTAATGTGAAATTTGTAATTTGTAACTAATAATACTATATGTATGCTGAAACATTTAAATTTTAATTAATAATAATAAAAAGAAATCTTTTATTTAAGTAATTGATTATTAATAAATATATTGTGAGTTCACGGAATAAGATAATTTTTATTCTAAGCTTTGTATAATTTTAGCATCCAAAAAATGTGAGGTCTAATTGTGCCTATAATCCTACCTACCTGAACCTATTACAGAAATTTGAAGTTAAACACTACACATAAAATAATAAAACGCCTATAATATAGGTAATGATTAATAAAAAAAAAAACTCACGGTTAAAATGTCAACGATGAAATATAAACGCAAGTCCATTATTGTAACGGCGACTGCTGCCAAAAACCGACCGGTAAAAAATTCGAATAGTATAATATTATATTATATAGGTACGGTCTAATTTCGTTATACAAGACAGCACGAAGAGCGTCTGGGTGTCTCGTCACTTGCCATTCTGTTATTGCGACTAGTTGAAGAACGCCGGGTGCTGATATTTATATATAAATAAGATATATGTATCGTTTTCTGTAAGACACGAATTCATATATACATACCTATATACATTATATGTATACAGAAACGCACTCAAACGTCGTATCTCTGCACTGCAGTGTGTGTACGTCGTTTATAAATTACGTGAGCGTGTGTGAGAGAGTCTTAGCGAGGCACCCCCAACGTGTGCATCATATATTATGCCTATACATCATAATATATCATTGTATTGTACAGTTTATTTTTCTCCCAGGGAGCAATAATACATATTATAATTACGTTCTGGATTTGCTGGTTGTACCTATATACTGCATACGTATACAATATACATATACATTCCCTTTCCTTTTTCACGAAAAACGAAGAAAACGACCAGTACTATTTTATATACAAACATGGGCACCGCAACAGTAACGATGATAATAATAAATAATAATGTACAACAATATTAATAATATTATTATATGAACTATCATTATTATTATTATTGTTATTGTTGTTACGAGCTACTGCCCTTGAACCACGCGTGCAGGTAGGTATCTCTATTGTGTACATACGCGACTAAATAATTAATGTATTCGCACACATATACAATCTACATAATATCTATTATATTTTGAGACTATATACCTATTATTCTGTAGTTGTAGATAAATCTGGAGTAGGCAGCTGGCAGTCGGTACTCTAATATTATACCGCACACATGTAATAATAATATATATATATTATATATAGGCAGTGTCCTCAGCGCGCGGGTTTAATTCTCTGCGCAATCTTCACAATCGCTGCTGCTGCAGATGAAAAGACAATGCTCACACGACGGAATAAATTGATGTCACTATGTACTTATTATATACGGCCACGAATCAGGTCACGGATCTGTATAAGACTGTATAGGCATATTTATATACTATAGAATAAACGAATGGACCTTAACGCCCCCGCGCGAAGGACTGAATAATATAGTGAATTGTATATATAATATATATTATATATGTAATAGGCTTATGCATATTATAAAGTATCTAGGAGAGTAGGTATCTATATAGAAGATTAGGAGGCAGCCAATGCTACGATCAGGTTAGATACCTCGCTGCAGTATATCAATATATTTGTAGTGTAGATATATAGATATAGTGAGGTACTCCATATATCGACATACGCAACGAATAAGGCAGTAACTCAATTTTCCAAATTTTTTTTTTTTATTTTCCATAAGGTATCACTGTTTTTCTGGAAGTCCAACACTATTTTATTGTGAACGTATGAAATAAAATAGAGTTACTGCCGTCTTCGTTGTACTTCCAGAAAAACAGAGATAGGTACCCCATCGAAAATATAAAAAAAAAATTTGGAAAATTGAGTTACTGCCTTATTCGTTGCGTATGTCGACATATGGACGCCGAACTGTGTGCGGATAAAAGGGAGTACAAGTTAAAATCGCTGCTTTTAATTAAACGAAAATAGTTGGAGTAATTCGAGTCATTACTCATTTCTGTATTAACTGTAACTTTTCTTTGATAAATATAAGAATGAATTCAAAAACCAAATTGTACCTATTTTATCACAAAAACTGTGTAAGATTTTTCCTTCTGCAAAATAGCGTAATAATTGAAAATTCAAAAATTCAATTTTTTCCTATTAACCACGCATATAGACATATTATAGTCCATAGATTGGTGTATACAAAGTATACTATAGGTACTTGTATAATAGTCCTATATTTTATATTATGAGCGGAGCTATACATGTATTGATTTTCAATGATAAGAGTTTTTGTTTCTGTCTAATAATTTTTTATAGTAAAAATAAAGTTTTGATTTTCAACTTCAGCATCTTTTCTGATGGGAAAGTGGATCTAATTGATACTTTTGAGAGGCCAAATTGATAGTGAACAGAAGTTTTCAAAAGCTATATTTTAACATAATATATATTATAATAAGTTAACAAAATAAAAATTTGAGAAAAAGAATTTTAGGCAATACCATTTTTCAGTAAAATCTATTTACTTTTTTTGATGTAATTATATAGGTACTAATTAATAGTTAATAAACTAATAACCATATAGATACTTTCGATTTTCACTGGATGTTTATGCTAGCATTTTCTATACTCCATAAAATTAAAAATATTTTGACTCATTTTGAGCTATTAATAGATATTTAAAATTTTTTTTTTAGCTTTATTCTCTATAAATATTAATTAAATTTTGTTCATTTGGTTAAAAAATGGACAATTTAATACAAGGTTCCTCATTAAATGTTATAATAACAGTTGAACAATATTTTACAGGCGGCATTATTGAATTCCGTTCTCAGTTTTTTAATATTTTAATATCAAACTTTAAAATAAAAATAAAAATTATATTATACCATTATTTGAAATAAAATAATAATCAGAATTCAATGCGGCCTTTAGGAGGTCTTCTTCTTCCAGATAAAAAAAATAGTTATCATAATATCCGACAACTCTACAAGGCATGATAACTATTCCTGTGAGATCGAAATAACAATCCGTGTAAACCCCTCCTAAATAGGTATCGGGCAGTAGATTAGTGGAAAAGTATTATAATTAATGTGGCATCTAAATTCAAATTTTATAGAATCGCGGCCAATTTAAAAAATCTACTCCGGGCCTTTGCTTAATGTTACAATTAACAAGGGGTACTACCCTGCTATTTATCTTTGAAATAATGAATATATCCCCCCCCATGAAAATTCTTATCTGCTCCACTATTTACAACCCATTACGCCAGTCTGCTACAGACATCTGCAGTAACTATTAGTATAGGCTGTAGGTAAATCGGGTAGAATACGATTGCGCGCATTACTATTGCGCTCATACCCTTTTGGCTTACGATTGCGCGTGTTAAATACGATTACACGATTGTGCAATGATGCCAAATTTAATAACACGATGATAAAAATTCTAAGATAACTAATGTCGTATTTATCTGCAGATTATCTCATCTTTTTAAGAACATCGTACAGTGATGCGGTGCTAGCGGCACTCGTCGCTACGCTCCTCGGCGCCATCGCTCCGCTCCGCAAATCGAAAATATCCCCCGACTTGCTGTGCAACACCTCCCCAAGTGGGTCACAGGGTTAAGAAATTCAGATCGTGAATTCAGATCGTTTTAAATATACCGACTCAGACCCTTTTCAGTAGAGCGCATACCGAATCAGCACTTGTTGGTAGAGCGCATACCGAAACAGAAACTTGTTGGTAGAGCGCATACCGAATTAGCACCAGAAATTGTAAAAATAATATTATAATCCTGTTTTATTTTTTGACTGTTGATGGTATACATTAATTAACATATTAGGGTATTTTATTTTTATATGTATTTTATGATTTGTTCGTGTAATTTATTATTATATTTATTAAATTATTATTAAAAACTCTTAGCTCAAGCAAAATTAAATTACTTTCAATTTGGCAACGTCGCATGAAGTTTTACGAGCAATCGTACATATATCTTACCTAAAATGTATGTTCTATTGTCCCATTAAAACATGCGCAATCGTATTATGAAAAAGGTAAAATGCGCGCAATCGTATTTTACCGGGTAAATCAACTGCTATAAATGTATACAGGTACCTATAATATTACACAACACAATCGTAAAAAATGACTTAACAGTTAACTGTACGTTTATATTATACATAGGTAGTCAATAGTTATCTTCATATATTATAAATGTATAATGTTTATTGTCCTTGTAGTTATTAACACTAATACATATATAGGTAAGGTACCTACTATATATATATTTTATAAATTATAGACTATAGTCTTATATAGGTGTAAATATTACAATATGTTTAATACCAAAGCTTCATTCATGTGTAATGTACGTATTGTTTAAGTCATAGCGAAAGTAATTTCATGACGTAGGCATCACAAACAATATTAATATTTATTACTATTAAATTAATAAACAATATAAGAATTTAGATACCTAGGTACCTCAATTAAAGAAGAATATGTAATAAAGTCACTACGATTCGTACTTACATAAATATATGGATATATTCTTAACACCTTGGTAAGTTACTCTTATTGTTACTGAACACTGAAGAGAGAAGATAGTAAATATCAAAAGGCATGTCAAATTAAAATGCATAAGTGACCTACCTAAGTAGTTTTTTCTAATGACTATATAATTGGTATTCCAAACAATGTGCATTGTGCTTTTAATTTAGCCATCTAATAATGGGGATAATGGTTCCTGGTAACCTAGGTACCTACATAGACAATCAGAATTTGTTTAACAGACTTTGAAATTAATAACTACATAATAATAGTCAAATAAACAGTAAATTATTCTAAATTTCCCACTTTTGGTGATAAAAATATAACATGATTACTGAATACATACTATATTATAGGTACCTTAATTTTATTTTATAATTTTTACACAATCAATACTATAAATGTGTCTATAATCTAGATTCTAGATTGTACATATACCTAACTACATCTGTAGGCCATAGGTTGAAATGTTGAATCATATACATATTTACTGTTTTATCAATGACGTATAATTGGTATTGATGACTACGATTTACCTATATATATTTGTGATTTGTATATATCTAAACATTCTAAACATTTATAGTTTGAGTAGTTTGACTGTAGATATATTCAAATTTATTCACACCCCATAGGTATAGGGACATTTTTACGTTTAGAATAGTCAATAGGGTAAATTAATTCAACCTCGGCTGGTTGAAACTTGAAAGTGAGTTGCCACACATACGTGTTAATTTCAGTTTTTTTTTGTTAGATTGTGATGTTATTATTTCGAAGGCTTATTTTTAAATGTTTGCGAAATGACCTTTTTCATTGGCCATACAATATAATACTCTTTTACTTTTTCAGCAGTAGGTATAGTGCAGTACCATAATTTAGATTTAGAAGATCGTTTGCGCAAGCTGTTACTATTATCTACGCATTTAATTATTTCTGACCGATGCGACCCCTTGTCATTTAACGTAGCTATAGGTATATTTTACGATTGATTTGCAAGTTGATTTAGAAGTTTCAAGTACCCACGAATGATATTATACAATCACAACAAAATAACTAAAATAGATACTCTATGTTTTTTATTATGTAATTTCGTCCAAATTTGAACCTTTTTTTTTTTATTTTAATAGCTTTTAGTCGGATACTATTACAGCTCAACAATTATATATCATACATATTATAATATTTTTTTGAAAAATTTTCAGTTTGGAAAATTATATTTTTAAAAGAATAAATAAAAAAAAGGTGGGTAAGTGGGTGTCACTCTGCTGTACAGTAGGTTACAAGTGGGTCACTGTATAATGGATGGTATTAAATTTGAATTCAATGATATAATATCATTGTATAAGAAAAACGATTCTGAGCGGAGACGGTATGTCAGTCTAGGTATGAGACATATTATATACTTATCTATGGTATTAAAACAAATTGACCTATAATAGGTACCTATAATAAATTCCAAATTAATAATATCACAATATCCATTAGGTACTTAGATATAACGCGTTATACTTCAACAACAAACCCTGATACTATCATAGATTCATAATAGTGTACTTTAGAAGTTTCAAGTCCCCACGAATAATATTATATACAACCATAACAAAATAACTAAAATAGTTATTCTAGGTTTTTAATATGTAATTTTATCCAAATTTGAACCTTAAATGACTATAAAAATAAACTGTGCTAATTTTTTTTTTAGATTTTTTTGGTAACAGAATTAACTACTTACGTAGAATCTTGTTTTAAATTTTCAATCCTTAGATATAAAAGTTGAACATTTTATACATTTTGAACTACAAAATAATTATTGAATTTTAAATTTGATAAATTTTGTCAAAATTCGATCTTTAAATGCTTATAAAAAAAACTGTGCCTATGTATTTTTAATATTTTTCAACTAATATTGTAACAATATATCCTTGCATTAAATTTTTACACTTTTTGGCCAAACAGATAAAACTTTATTGATATTTATAGAAAAAAAAACTAAAAAAATTGATAACTGAAAATGTATATATCGTGTATAGAAAATATAAGTATAAACAACCAGTGAAAATTTCACGTATATAAATTCATTTGTTTTAGAGTTACACCAAAAAACAAAATTGATTTTCTCGAAAACAGATTTTGCTTAAAAATTACCGTTTTTCCTTAATTTTTCTTTTGTTTTTCACGGCGCTTTTGAAAACTACTGGGAAATTTTTACTTTTGACCCTCCCCCAAAGTACCAACTAGATTCACTTTCCTATCAGAAAAGATACCGTTGAAGAAAATCCAAGCACTTTTACTGTAATAAAAGGTGAAGATAGACACAAAACAAAATTAAAAATAAAAAAACACATCATTGTAAAATCAATACATTCATCGTTCTACTCAGAATCTAAAATGTGAAATATTGAGTTATTGCGATTAAATTTTTTTCTCATAAATTCCAGGAGTCCGTTTCATCAAAGATATTTTTGACAGAGGTTCACGTGCCACAAAAGGTTAAGAATCTAGAGGTATCTATTTCAAGTGTAGTTATATTCATGTGAATCCGTGAATTTTGGTATTAAATCACGTGTTTATTATTATTATTATTATTTTCAATTCCTACAATTAGTATCTTCAAATGGTTTTCTTGCTTCTACATAGCAGTGATCAGTGATCAATTATTCATTTTGAACCAGAATCTCCACACAAAACTAATATTTTAGAATGTGGTTTTTTTTTCGACAGTTATCTATTATGAAAATTATTTAAATTTTATATAAATTAAAAAAATTTTTTAAAAATATTCAAATTGAACAATGAAAACACAATTTCATAAATTTCGCTTAATGTTGTAATAATAGCATATAAATGGATAACAATAAAAATGTGTTTTTTTTATTCTTATTTATTTATTTATTAATTTTGGACAAAAAGCACAATTTCAGGAAATTAATACATAATTTAGTCGTATAATAGGTATATTAGTGAAAATTAATATATTATTAGTTATTACGATGATTAATATTATAACGTATTATTTAATAGGTATACAATGTTGTGGTCCAATAAATCCTATAACAAATAAACAGATATCCATGTGTATGAGTTGGACATAATATGCCCAATGTAATTCGTTATTACTTATTACAGTAGATACTAATAATTATTATTTATTATAGTTATCTTTTTACTTTATAAGTATTTATTATAATATGTAATACTCCGTAATATAAATAGCAAATAGGTTCCTTGTACTTATTTATACTTATTACATGTCGGAACTATTTTTTTAAATCAGATTAAAAGAAAATATGGCGTATTATACATGGACCATATAAACTTAACTCAATTTGTTAATTTATAATTTCTAGCAATTAATATTATTAAAACGTTTTGTTTGCTAATTATGTTAGGACGTTAGGAATTGTTTATCATCATGATACAAAATAAATTAATATTTCAAATGTGTAACTATTCTAGTCACTATATGTACACTACCTATATGGCTATATTTATCTTAATTATATTATACTGTTTGACCTATGATCCTTCATTTTTTTTTATTATATCAAGAAATTTTTAATTTAAATTCATAAAATATAGGTACACAGTGGCAGAATTAAAAGTTTGTTCTAGATATAATTTTTCTCTGAATAAACCACAAGATTTCACCAACCTCTAAATAGTAAATAGTCTACAGTCTACACCATGCTTTAGTTTTAAATATTGTTGTAGATGTAACAAGATACTGCTGTACAGTAGCTGTCGAGCATATGTCGTTATATTTAAATACAATGATAAATCACTGTATATTTGTATACGAAAAACGATTCACAGACGAAGCAGAGACGTTGTGTTGTACTTGTATAAAATATAGTCAAATTTAGTAGTTAAAAATTTATTTTTGAAAAATCTAAAATATCTCGTGGCTGTAAATAGTGTGTCTTTCCAGTGAACTTTTAGATTCTGATTGGAACGATGAATGTATTGATTTTACAATGATGTGTGTTTATATATTTTTTTTTTAATTTTAGATTCTGAGTGAAACAATGAATGTATTGATTTTACAATGATGTGTGTTTTTTTTTTTGTGTCTGTCATCACGTTTTAGGACAGTAAAAGTGCTTGGATTTTCTTCAACAGTAGCTTTTCTGATAGGAAAGTGAATCTAGTAGGTACATTGGGGGGTCAAAAGTGACCAGTAGTTTTCAAAAGCGGCGTGAAAAACAAAATACAAATTAAGGAAAAACGGGAATTTTTACATTAAAATCTGTTTTCGAAATAATCGATTTTGGTTTATGGTGCAACTCTTAAAAAAATGACCGTAGTTACATAAAATTTTGACTGAATGTTTATATTATATAGGATTTTCTATACACGATAACATTTTCAAAATGTTTTGATTTATTTTGAACTGTTTAGGCACATTTTCATTTTCCAATTTTTTTTAGTTTTTTTTTCAAAAAATATCAATTAAATTTTATTTGTTGGTTAAAAAAGTTTTAAAATTTAATACAAGGCTCCTACTATATTGTTACAATGGCATTTGAAATATATTAAAAATCCTTAGTCACAGTTTTTTTTTATAAGCATTTAAAGTCCAAAAATTGACAAAATATGGAAAAATCACGAAAATTAGCAAATTATTTTGAGTTAAGAATTCGTAAAAATTTTTCTTTTTAAATCTAAAGTTTTAAAATGTAATACAAGATTCCTTATAAGATTATCTACCTTTATCAAAAAAAAAATGTCTATAAGAAAGTCAAATTAAATTTTTATGAGCGTTTGAAATTCAAATTTTTACAACATTGGATATTCACTCTCTTGTAGCGATTTCCTTATTTTTTTGTTATTCAAAAACGAATAACTGTAGATACATGAAAATTTCACTGAATGTTTATATTAGCATTTCCTATACTCCATACAGTTTTAGACTGACATGCCGTTTCCTCTCAGAATCGTTTTTCTTATACAATGATATTATATCATTGAATTCAAATTTAATACCATCCATTATACAGTGACCCACTTGTAACCTCCTGTACAGTAGAGCAACTTTTTTTAGTTAAAATGATAATTCCTAATCTATAAACTGTGTATACAGTGTTCACTGTAAGCATTTATATTATTATTTATTTGTATCAAACATTCAAACTATCAAATACTTTTTTAAGTACCATATTATTAATTAGGTACTTACTCAAATTCTAGTTAAGTTTTTTAAAATCATGTAATTACATAAATAGGTACCAAATATTGATTGAGTGTTATTTTTTTAATGCGTACCTATATATTTTAACCTATATTACATATAACAAATTGTTATTTAGATTTTAGATGATAATATTATTTTTACATAAATATAGTTTATATATTTTGGTAACATTTTGAATAGTTTTATAAAAGTTTATTTTTATATTTAGTTAGTAAGTAGGTATTTTGATAATATGTAGGTACTGCTGCAAATATACTATTACCAGTGAATATAATATAGCAACTATGAAATAAATATTAATACTTATAGTAACCTATAACCTCATACTAATAACCAATATTTGATTAATACATCAGAAACAATATTAACTTAATATTATAATTCACTAATCACTATTAAATAAATAGGTATACAACTAAACTTATAAATTATAATACCTCGAGCCATCGAGGCGTGAGCAAGAAGTAGTCATAAATATAAATTGTTATTTGTTAATAAATCAAGTGCTTCGTTATTTTATTGGTAAATACATCATGTATTTATTAAATGTGTGGAACTTTATTCTGGCGATTTTGGTGGTAAGGGATGCTAACTGCATTGTGATTGATTTATGTCATGGTTATCAAAATCAATCTACTACCTGTTGGACCACAACGCAGCGGTTCGAAATATTTGGAGTAAAGAGAGGCGCAGGTCCTAATGGATGGTATTCAACACAGAGCTTTTCAATGTCCGAACATTGTGGCACTCATTTAGATGCACCTTATCACTTTTATGAAAACGGGTGGAAATTGGAAGATATTCCACTGGAACGAATGATAGTTGAAGGCAAGTTAAAATAAAATATAGATCTTTTAATAGAAAAGTTCATATTAATAAGACAATCCAATAAAGCTTGATTCAAAAAGATTTAAATCCTTTTTAATAAGGTCAATTTTTGATCTTATTTTTAATTTTTTTACCTGTAATTAGTTAAAATGTTGACCGAATGTGAGTAGTTTTAGTTTTTAACAGATTAAGTACAGTGTCAAAGGCCGTAGGTTTATGCACTGAAAATATAAATTATGAGCTCTAAAGAAAAAAGTTATTGTTATTGTCCAGTGTCAAAATGCAGTTTAAAATAACATTGAAATTGAAATGACGTAACTTTAATCCAAAAGGTTGTTAAAATATTATAAGATAAAAACCAATAATAAGTTGTTACTTGTTTCTATATTTTTATATAACTGTTCAAACTGTTTGAAGTGATTACCATTTACAGCTATACAAAGTTCAATTTTTTTTGTAAATTGTAGCCACAAGTTTGGCCAGAAATTTCAGAATTACTTACCTGTGCATCAGTGCATCCCTTAAAAATGTATCCAGTTGAGTTAGCTATGTATATATTAGTGGACATTAATCTTATAATATGCAACTATATGAAATTTAAACCTATTTTAATATATTAATAAAGACATCAAGTTTATAAATTTGTACATGGATAAATAATTATATCATGGACTATCCACACTTTCAGTGCCTACGATTTTTGAATACGTAAATACCTAAGTAAATTGTTAAATACTAAACCGATCACATTTAGCCAATTTTAAAAATAAATTTCTTTATGATATTCTGAATGATGAAAATAAGGTCTACAAATTAATAACATTATTCTTTTCAATATGGCAATCTTAACGGTTCATGGTGCATGGTACATGGTACATTTCACAGCGTAATTGGTTTTTTATTCAAACATTTTACAAAACCATCACGGAATATTTTAAAAAATAGGTAGGTACTTAATGTTTAAAGAATTTTGTGGTGCTCGAAAATGTTTTTAAAAACTGATGATAGAAATCGTACCGCTCATGACGTCATTTTAATCTAGCTGATCCCGTGCACTTCGTTGCCCGTTAAATGTATCAACTCTATTTGACTCAAACTTTGTTCAATTCGTTATTTAATATTCGGTGTGTGATGTTCAAAATTTATCTTAACTTTTCCGTTGCCTCGAATAAAAATTCTGATTCGCCGCAGTACATTATGAAGTAGGTTTGTACGTAAGTGTATAAATAACTCTAAAGTATCAAAGTTATACCAAGTTTGTCGTTTTTACTTAATTCCTAATATAATCAATTTATACAAAATCTTATCCTAACCTGACCTTACTAAAATCTGATGAATAAAAAAAAACTAATTTAACCCTTTATAATTTAACCTATCATCTTCCCAGAAACAGAATCAGAATCTACCCACAAACATTAATTTATATATTATATCTAACTATATAAATACACAGCTAGCTATACTACAACTATACAGACTAAACTCTGGAACTACTTATCAGATCGTCTTGTGTATATTATATATATATAATAATATGTATATTGACAAAAGATAATAATACAAATCAACAAACATTCCCGATAAACCAATATGTTATACACCGGTGGATTTTCCTAAAATTTTCTTTCAAATAAATCTTCTCCGTGAAATACTCTTAGGTTTAAAAAAAAATCCAGAAGATCTGATAAGTAGTTCCAGAGTCTAGCCTGTACAGAGATTTTCATTTCAAATTTTTATAGTTATTCCATTTTAAATGTATATTAATAATAATAATATATAATAATAATTTTAATGAGTTCAGCGTACTCTGCTGTACACGGAATGACGAAATCGAAAATAGTTGTGTTTTTATTCAACGACGACGATGACGACAACGAAGTGCACAATCCCCCACGCTGCCACAGAATAAAATATACATCGCGACCATGACGACAATACTAGTAGACGTTGAAGTAAAGGGGGGGGGTATATCGGCGGCAGCCCCGGCGGCAGCCCCGGCGGCATATTAACATACTGTACATTGCTACACGACCGCTGATCTCTGATTGGCCGATTTAAATTTGCGCGGTTTTATTGAATAATTATTATCAAAAGTATACGATATCAGTTGCCGCGGTTTTACATAATAATTGTAATGTTATCACATTGCGTCAATTGCTCCCAATATGCGGTCTACCTCCGTTTTGTGTGCTACGTAACTATAAACATGAGCATAGTATGGGGTCTATCAATGTTATGTGTTCTACCTATATAGCTGGGAACAAAAATGCAATTTTCTCAACCCTGTGACCCACTTGGGGAGGTGTTGCATAGCAAGTCGGGGGATATTTTCGATTTGCGGAGCGGAGCGACGGCGCCGAGGAGCGTAGCGACGAGTGCCGCTAGCACCGCATCACTGTACGATGTTTTTTTCAAATTGGTGGCTCGGTGCAACAAAAATGCAATTGATTGAAAAAACATCGTACAGTGATGCAGTGCTAGCGGCACTCGTCGCTACGCTCCTCGGCGCCGTCGCTCCGCTCCGCAAATCGAAAATATCCCCCGACTTGCTATGCAACACCTCCCCAAGTGGGTCACAGGGTTGAGAAAATTGCATTTTTGTTCCCAGCTATATAGGTAGAAAACATAACATTGATAGACCCCATACTATGCTCATGTTTATAGTTACGTAGCAGGTCAGGTTAGGTAACGATAGTTACGTAGCAGTACAAGCAACAACCCATTGACGCAATGTGATAACATTACAATTATTATGTAAAACCGCGGCAACTGATATCGTATACTTTTGATAATAATTATTCAATAAAACCGCGCAAATTTAAATCGGCCAATCAGAGATCAGCGGTCGTGTAGCAATGTACAGTATGTTAATATGCGCCCCGGCGTTGTTAACGAATGACGCTATGTAACAATAGGGCAAACTTAATACTTCTAATACCTAACTATTTAAATAATTATTTTTTTGGACTTTTCTCTTTTGATTGCTCATATACACACAGAGTTCTCGCGTTAGAAAAAGAAATCATGAAAATCGGTCCAGTAGAACTTAAGACATAACTGTCATAAGAAATCGCCTCACGTTTTAATAATATATAAAGATACGTTTGAATGTAAATAATAGGTGTGCATCTAAATGTCAGTCACGAAGTCAATGGAAATGGTGACTTTTTACTAACAGTTGATCATTTGAAAAAATGGGAACACGACAATGGTCCACTTCCACACCGTTCTGTGATATTAGTCAATTTCGGTTGGGCTCATAAGTTTGGAAATCGTCAACTATACTACTATAATAATATTACAGAGCGATCATTATTAAGGTAGGTACCTAATCATGGTATTTGCACTATTTGGTAATAATAGCAGTACCTACGTCAATTGTCAGTACATAATTTATTTTCACACTTGACATAATATGATTACAATTAACACTTAACAGTTTATATACCTAACCTAACCTAACCTAATATAGTATATTGTATATATAGGTACCTACTAATACATAATATTAATACATTCATTATTTATATAAATCTAGATTTTTATTAATTTATAATGTGTTACTAGTTTACCTATTGTGGTTTTTAAGTTTTCCAGGATTATCTAAAGACGCAGCACAATGGATTGTCGACTCAAAAAAAGTATTCGGCTTAGGAGTAGATGGCCCGAGTGTTGATCCAGGCAATTCAACGTCGTTTGATGTGCACAAGATACTATCTAAAGCCAATTTATATAATCTCGAAAACGTAGCTTTAAATGGTACGACATTACCATCGAAAGGATTCAAACTTATTATCCAGCCAATCAAGATTGTAGGAGGTACCGGTGGACCTTGTCGGATATTAGCTTTTACAAATAATACTTTTGAAAAATGATTTAAACTAGACTTGACATTTTCATAAAGAACCTACCATAGTCATTATTGATCGTTATCAAAATAACTCATACAAAGTGTAAATTACGCAAAACAAAATGTCTTTGTAATTTCTCCAGTATGAATGTATGATATAGATTTAAATATAGATAACTTGAACCCACTTAATTTTATTATTTATATACACAATTCCCTTCTGAAATTTAAAATGATTTTTATACCAAAAATATATTTTTTTAAATGCATGTTTATTAAGTTACCAGTACCTATATTACCTAGGTATATTATATTATAATTTTATTATTATTATAATTATTTATATAGGTAGAGTAAAAGCGCATCATCCTTACTAGGTACCTATTACTACTGCATAATAGTCGAAATAAATAATACTAGGATGTTTTAAACGTAATAAATATAATGAGATACTTATCTACCTACGTCCTACCTATTTCTAAGTACAGAACTAGAAGCTAGAAAACCTACCTGGTTATCTAAAACGGTACTCATGTTTTTACATTTTATTACGCAATACCCGTTGTTAATGCGTAGTAGCCAGTATGCACAAAAGTCAATAAATATATTATGTCATATTAGACATAATAATTAATAAAATTACTAGGTAGGTGCATGCGTGATGCGTCTTATTGTGATGATGTGTAAACGCTATGGAGGTACATCGTACAAATCAAATTACATTTAGTCCATATCAAATACTATAATTTTGTTATAGATATATTAAAGAATTTAAATACAAATACCTAACACAAATCGTATATAGATTTATACATTTGCACATCGCAGAATACAGATGTTGTAAATACCTAAGCGTATATCGAATACTATAGTATTTAAAATCAAAATTTCTATTAGAACCCCGTTGGCTAATTATTAAGCAGTAAGGAATAAACGTGACAGTGATGGAGTCGTGATTTCACTGTCTCTTTCAATTATGACACTATACATTCCATATAGGTACCCAACCTATAGGCTGTATATGCTATTCAGCCAACTGGTTCTGAAAACAATGTTGAATGTTAAATTGCAATACAAAGAACAATTAATGATACCTACCTAATATCTGAGCACGAATCTATAGTATCTATTTATAGATAATATTATCATAGTAATATAGGTGTTTCAGGGAGTGGTTTATGTGACGTATAATGATCAAATAATTGTTTATGTCAGGGTTCGTTCAATATCCTATTTTAATATAATATTATGTACTTAAATAATATATGTATAGTAGTATAGTAGGTCTAATACCTATCTGATTCTATGAAAAAATTTTTTCTATCAAAGTTAAAAAACGTTATTATAGACTTACATACATAAGTAAACATAAACCAAATAATAAATAGGTAAGGTAAAATAACCTAATCTATACACATATTTTTATACTCGTATTTGCAGTATACAACAAAAAAATATAAAGTGATATTTTATTTATAGGTTTACTCACCAATTATTATATTTTAAAAACTACAAATATGAGCCAAACCAATGACTTTAAACTTACCCCCAAATGTGAAAATATGAGTTTAATGTATATAATATACGATGCATGCCAAATTTCAACTCATTGCAGTAAATTAAAAATTAAAAACCTGAAAGTATATTTGTACTTTAATAATATATTAATATATTCATTAATTCAATATCAATGAGCATAAAAAGGGATAACAACAAATTGAGTAGGTACATGTAAATTGTATGCGTTTGAAATTTGAATTGACTCTAGTTTATTGACTTAATATTTTTGAATTGAGTCCGTATAGATTAGATATCATAAGTCATAAACTCATAACCATCTATAGGTATAGTTTTAAATAATTACGATTACGTCGTTGACGATGATTATATTGCACAGTTTACCCAACATTTGGAGTGATTTTTCAACAAGTATAATCGGACCACTAACAGTTGTGAAAGTTTTCAAACAAAATTAAATGCATTTTTTCACTCAAAGAATATTTTTATTCTTGTTGACACTCTTCTGCGAATACATACATAAAATTACAAAGCAAAGTAACAAAACTATGTAAAAAAACAATCGATAAGATACAATTTTTACAGGGGCAGATAAGCAAATACTATACAAATAAACAAATTTGCAGATTTGACTTTTTAAAACCAGTATCATTTAAATTTTTACTAGCAACTATTTAAATGTTAGCATTATTATATTACATAATATAATTATTACTTCCATCATTATTTTTAATATTTTTTGAATTGATTAACTTTTTTTTATCTTATTACTGTTAGGTAAGATTTTAAAAAAAAGCCGGCCAAGTGCGAGTCGGACTCGCGCACGAAGGGTTCCGTACCATTATCTAATGTCTGTTGTCATTTTCGGGGTGGGAAAAAAATTCAGGCCAGGTTAATAAATTTCCTCCAGGCCATTCAATATTTTCATCTCTTATTTATTTATGCAATGTATTTTGTATTGCAATTTAAAAAACGAATCTTTGTATACGACGTCACTCATGGCAACCATTTATTAACAATACGACGTCACTCGTGGTAACTATTTATAAACAAAAATTTCCATCTGAAATCTCAAAATTCCCGTTTTAGCACCCCCCGGGGTTGCTCCTATCCCTTTTTTTTAGTATTTGTTGTTATAGCATCCACGGAAATACATAATCTGTGAAAATTTCAACTTTCTAACTTTCATATTTCATGAGATACAGCCTGGCGACAGACGGACGGCCGAGCGAAAGTAATAGGCTTCCGTAGGGAAACGTACGGAACCCTAAAAACAGTGTCAGCAATCACATCATTTTTTTGGGAGACTACTAAGCCAACCTCCACGTGATGATTACGGAATAATGCTAATAGGCCGGCTTAACTCGAACAACCTAACAAATATTGGTCCGACTCAAATCCGATAATCCAAAAATATTAGAGGGACTCAATTCAATATCACCGATAAAAAGGATATAAATTTTACCGTACAGGTCAAGTATTATCAATTGCACACCCAAGGGGGGGGGGAGCTAACGGGCTTTAGTCTCCTCACCCTAAATGATTGGCTCCTAAAATTTTGGTAATTTTATTAATTATCAACTTTAGAATATGATATAAAAAATTATCAACTATCTAACCAAGATCCTGCACAAACATGTTTTCGGATTTCTGTACGTATTTAAAAATAATTTTATTTAGCATTCCCCTCCCCTTAAAAAAAATCTCGGGTGCGTAATTAATACTTATTAGTTACCTGTACAAAAAGAGTTACATTTCTGTCAAAAAAATACACTAAAATTAACATTTGGCAGCTATATACAGACGATTAATATACATTATAGTATTATACACGATAAAGAGTATAAACGAACAGACAATAGGCATGAAAGAAATTCTGAATTTTTCATTTTTTTTTTTGTCCTTATATAATGTATATTTCAAAACAAATACACTATATAAAAATATTATAAATTATTTTACACAACGTTTGAATTCGTGCACACTTAGTAACTGCTTATTTTTCTTTTCGAAATAAGTAACCTGAAAAGAAGAGCTGATACAATGTAACAGTAGATATAATATATGTACGTGTAAAGTGGAAGTGTCATAGCCCATATAACTATATAGTATATAGGTATGTAGGGGGAGAATTCTTATTACTAATGTTGTATTATTTTTTTTTCACTTAATACGTACGCTCATCGATCTCGTTCTTTGAAGTCGGTTTTTGGTTGAAGGCGCATGTCTGTCTTGACGGATCAATGAAAATACTGCGCAAAATTAATATGCGAATATTAATTTAAACGTAATACTGTAATAGTATATAATAATGAATTTCTCGAGGACTATTTCCGCGGCGTGGCCGGGTTTAAAAACCATGAAGAAAATCTTTGCATTGGAAACATTTGTTTACTATTGTATAATACAAGATAGGAAAATAAGGCAAACTTTGGAAATTCAATACTATGATTTCAGAATCTAAAATTAAAACAATAAACGTATTATATAGACAAGTTTATATTACAAAATGACAGTATAATTTGTATTTTATTTTACAAAACAAATCTGGCAAATGAGAGCTTAACCAACAAACCTCAGTATTACATTATAATTACATATTAATTAAAAAATTATACATAGAAATTTGGAAAAATTAATTGTTTACAATTGTAAAAAAACATGAATGCAACATTTATGTTTTGTCTATTTAAGTTAGAATTCTAGTATAAACTTAATATTAAAATAATGTGATGAGTTTTTTAATAGTTTTCTGACACTGTAATTCTAATCAAACTGTTCAAAAATGTAATATACAAAAATAACTAAAATATGTCATATTAAATATTATACAAAGATTGATCGTTTAAACTTTTGACATCACAAAGGTTTTTTAACGGTTTGAATAAAAAAGTTATGGTTATGCTATAACATCTAGTTGAGTGGGCAGACACAATGTCTCAAGGTACAGTGGGTCTTACTGTCTCGTACTGACAATGTACATATTTTAAAATATAATTGACTAACATTTTACTTTAATCATTTATTAAGTTGTAAAATTGCATCTCCGCCGTCTACTAGATACAACATGTTGAGGTAAAAAAAGGAAGGAATAAACTATAATATATAGACACCAAATAGTTCCCATAAAAATAAAAATGCATATACATATAACCACAATGGGTGTATAAATTCAACGAGGATATCACGGAAAGCATTATTATTTTACAAATTGCAAGACAAAAACATAAAATCATGAATATATTTTTTTTTCCAGTGTATTGAGGAGTCCCTGATGACCAAACCTGAATAGGTACTGACATTTAACAAGACAAACGGCCATAGTTAAAATAATTTAATACGCCAAAGCACAATTATTAAAAAAAAAAAAACAGTGTTGTGTAAAATGTACACTGTAAATTACCGCAATAAATAACCAGAGTATGTAAAGCAAATTAATTATTGAAATCATATAGTACACCTTCAGTTTATGTAGATTTAATATAATGCGGATTGATTTTTTTTTTCAATTTAAGATATAAATAATATAAATAATAAATTCGTCATTTTTAAAAAAGCATGGAACAAATAGATTTTAGACCTTGAATCTTGATTGTTGTTGATATATTAAAAGCTTCACATTTTCATTTTCAAATGATGGTGGTGGGGAGTGGGGATTATTGTATAATATAAAGGGCTACCTATTTTCATATAGACCTATTTGTTTTGTTTTATGAAATTTATACATTCAATAATGTAATCAGTAATCAAGATTATAAGCATAGGTTTCAGTAATTGATTTATACAAGAATTATGTTAAATCAAAAACATTTTCTTGGTTGTTACTATAGATGATACATTAAATTGGTCCAATTTACAATTATATGTAACTAACACAAATATCAGTCAATAAAAGATTTAATATTGAAAAACGTTTAATACTGACATACTGATATTGTATTACTTGTAGTAAAAACTTTCATATTAATAGAAACCATAATGTAAACAATTTCCTACAATGGTTTGATATAATTTGTTAATAGACAAGATAAAACACTGAATTATTATCATGTTTTTTTTTTTTTTTTTTGAAAATATATATTAAAAACTAATATATTGTTCAATAATGAATTATTTTTCATGGTAAAAGGATTTTAGTTGATTTATATTAAACACAACTGAGAAATGCTAAAAATAAATGTTGAAAGATGCAAAGCGATAAATTAAATATATAGCATAAATAAATTCCATTGAATGAATCCTATCCAAATCAAATCCCATAATTATTAATTATGAGTAATCAATGAAAAATTATTGTAGCTAAAATTTGCAATTATTTGACAGTGCCAATGGAAAAAATTATAATTTAAAAGGGCAATAATCTATAAAATTAAATAATAAAACATCAAAAACTTAAAATATTTAATTAATAATATTAATAATTTCTATTTTATTATAAAAATTAATGAGGGATACAAACATTTACATTTAAATAAAACATAGATTATTTGTTTTTATAGTACATATCTATAGAGATGGATTCAAGTCCATAACTATATTAATATACTATATATATTTTTTTTTCAAAAGTTTAGAACATTATGTAAAATAATTTTATATTGCCCATATTATTTTTTGGGTTAAATATTAATTTTTATCTAATAATTTTTCTTTGAACTTTTTTCTTAAGTTTTTGTTAAATTTAAATTAATGAAATTTTATTTTATTTGAATTACATAAAAAATACTTAAGTATATCTTAACCAAAAATAACTAAAAATAATAAAATAAAAAAAAATAAAAAAAAAAATAGGCTAGGCTATTTACAAAATTTCAAACGCGATAGTTTATTTATGCTGGTGCATGATTGGCGTTCTATCCGGTGCTTTGACCCATTTTGGGGTTCACGCAGGTGGTATCATTGAACCGGAGACGCTTCCAAAACAAAGAAAAGAAAAGTTCTTACATAAATTCTCGACTTTGAAGTATTATTATGTGTAAGGTAGGACATGAAAGCTATGGGCCAACACATGTTAAAAAAGTAAAAATCAATAATACATATATTTCTTAGATTAAGTTAAAATCATTTTTGCAACTCCTTTAAAATTACAAAAAGTACCAAATTCTATATAGTTATTAGCTATATGATACATAATTATATTATGTACATAAAAACCTTGTGTTCAAGTCAACAAATTTAAAAAAAAAAAAAAAAATTAAGAAAAGTAGAATATTTAAGAGCCGAGGTTAATTCAACCATTTTAGTTACTATATACTCCCACCAAAATTACATAAGAGATTAAGCAGTAATATTAATATATTTTATTTGAACAAGAATACTTGAAAAATTTAGGCATAAATATTATTAATACAAATATTTTAGTAATGTAAGGCATGCATTGATAATGGATAACTCTACATGTACACAAGCACACCTGAAAAATTAATTCAAATTGAGTCACAAGAGACTCCTATTGCTTAAAAATGTCTGGTTATTATTAAGATATCTAAAATATAGAAACTTATGCAAAATATAAAATAAATAGCTCTAATGCCAACTCCAATTTTGCGTGCAAAATTGTGAAAAAAATGCAATGGGTGCCATTTTCAAAAACTGACATAGTTAATATATGTTTTTTTAGTGTATAAAAAAATTAAAATTAATGCTTTTATTTAGAAAATGGTAGTCGGAAAAAAAAATTATATGTTAGCTGTTGTTAAGGGGAAAACATTTTTGAGTATTTGTTAGAATTAAGTTTGATGGCGATTGCGTCTGGTCACAGATACTGACTTGGTTTGCAAAGGCTGAGTAACAGAAGGCGATTCAGATGTTGCCATTGCTGAGCTTCGAGTTTGAGTTCTCACTGGTCGCGCTGAACCAGGATCAGCACTGTAACGCAATCTTGTTGGTAATGGTTGAATAACACCACCTCCTAATATGATTAAAACCAATAATACCGGAATATTAGTAATTATATAGTATTATTCTAATTAACATTTAATTAAATAAATAAGGTAACTATTATCAATATTATTATTTTAATATTTAATATATACCCGAACAATTATCCATTGGTACCAGAGGAACTTTGGATAAAAAATTCTTTATTCCACTTTGATCAGCTTGAGCGCGACTATTTAGTGGAACGACATTAGTAGAAGGAGAGCTACTGTCTTGCATTGCACGTCTGCTATCTTGATGCGAGGCATTCTTTTGATCATCTGATCCACTATATCGAGCACCATTTGCTCCCTAAAATAATATTAATAATCAAAAACATTGCTACTGAAATAAAAGTAGTGAGCTTCTATGTATATTGCATCAAATATTATCTTAAAAGGATGTCGTACTCTCATGTTACTAACGCATAACAAAAAACACTTTTCTTACTCTGTTTATTTTTAACATTTTCTTTATATACATGATTTTATGGTATTTTAATTTTAAAGCAAGTTATGAGCATTTCAAAATTAAAATATCAAAACAAAAAGCCTCCTTACGGCCCTGGATAATATTCTTATTGGGGGATGAGGTGGCCGAGCGGTTTAAGGCATCGGTTGCGACTCTGGATCGATTCCCGGCCACTGGGAGGCATTTTTCTTCGGGCAAGTCCGGAGAACAAGTGCCGCCATCCCCCACCCGGGCATGGCAGATACCTACTGGTGCCCAAATTGAAAATTCTGCCAAAAACCTAACACACACGTGTTCCCTCCCTACCGACAATAGAAAGTTCAAAAACACCATACAGCTAATGGCCATAGTACCGGGCTTACGATTAATTTAAAAAAAAAATCTTATCTTCAACTTGAAAAAATACCATTCCACTCTTATATTAAAAATTACAGAGTAAAACAGATTTTTAACATATAATTTGTGTTATGAGTTACTCAGAGTTAGGACAACAAATGTTTCTGTCTTTACAACAAATATGGGTAAAACATTATAAGAATTATTATAATATTAAAATTTGAAAATAACAGAATTAAACAAACAATTTGCTGTTATACGTTTGTAAGACAAAGACAACACATCCAGATAAAATGTCCTCTCAACAAATCCTAAATAAGCTCAGTAGTTGAATGGAAATTATTCTATTCACAAACAACTCAACAATACCCTAAATTTGTTATGTTTTTAACTAGGTAAATCCATTAATAAAAACGTATTATTGAATATATCTACTAGGGACAAATAATACTCACAAATTTCAACATATTCCAATCGAAAATATAATCGTACGTGAATCCTTGACGATGGAACAACTGCCTAAATAATTGCCTTAAATACGTAAAATCTGGTTTTTCGGTGAATCTCAATGCACGACAATACAGCAAGTATGTTAAAAATTCATCTAGAATAATAATTTATTATTTAATACTGGTATTATTATTGAGGATTTTGATTTTATTTTACTTGGATATCCTTTGCATAAATCCTCAAATGAAGTTACAATTTTTTTTTCACTTATACGTTCATATTTTTGTCGTTTAGTAGCTGCTTTCAAACCTTGCCATGGCAAAGAACCACGATTAAAGTACATTAATACATAACCAAGAGACTCTAGATCATCTCTTCGACTTTGTTCTAAATATTTAAGTAAATATTAATAAAAAAATATAATTCACCAAACCACATATAATTACCTATTCCTAAATGGGTATTTATGGAAGCATATCGAGCAGTTCCAGTGAGATTTTTGTTCTCTCGATACATTATATGTTCATTGGTTCGGCTGTCGCAATATTTCTTTGCAAGACCAAAATCTATAATATACACCAAATTGCCACGTTTACCCAAACCCATTAGAAAATTGTCTGGCTTGATATCCCTGTGTATGAAGTTTTTACTATGTATATACTCTATTCTATCCAGCTGAAAAAAAAAAATGAAAACACAATTAATAGAAATTGATAATTATTTTAGATTTTGGAATGATGAATACATTGATTTTACAATGCGGTTTTTATTTTTTAGTCTTAAGACACATTTTATTGTAGAAAAAATGCTTCCATTTTCAAATTCGAGTGTATTTTTTGGTACCAAATCAGATGTAGTTTGTACTTTGGGGTGTAAAATGTAAAAACTATTATTACTACTATTACTATTAAAATTGGCTAGTATTCTTGGTTAACAAAAAGTTAGACTATCTTTGCTCAGAATCTATGCCTATCATTGAATTCAAATTTAACATATCTATTACAGTGACCACTACTCAATGCGAGGTACACGTATATACGACACCTATACTGTAAAGAAGAGCGTTTGCATATTTTTTTTGCCTTTTTTAAATATAAATATTACCAAATAGTATTCAAGAAAAAGTAAAAATAATTTTTATGCTTAATATATAATTAATAATTATGTTTTTTTTTTTAATTTTAATATTTATAAATACATTTTACACTTAAGTCAGGTTTGATAGAAAATGTGTAATTTGAATCGTTTTAAAAAAATTTATTTATTTATTTATGCATAAATAAATATTTAAATGGTTAAAAAATTACTTTAATTGTGGGGTTTATACATAAAATAGGTTGAATATCTAATTATCAATGTTTGATGTGTATCATAAACAAAACTAAGATTATAAAACAAACTAACTTATTCTTTCTAACTTATTAGAAAAGTAAAAAATTGAAGATGTACTATTATTACTAAAGACCGGATTTATATTCTCTTAAAATACCCAAAATATGATGCTAATATTCTCTAAAAACCCTTCAAATATTCTCATTATATTCTCTCAAAAATTTAAAAATATGCAAAAATAATCAAAAAACATCATTATATGCTTTAATATGCATTTATTTTTTAAAATTTTTTTTCAACTATATTTTTATAGTGAGATATTAGGTATTAAGAGTTGCGTATTAAACCTAATGGAATAGTATTGCATTTTAGCAAGAGTAGGAAGTTGGAATATAATATAAATATAACAGTATAATATATTAAAACACAAAAACAAAATTTTGATATTTGAATATTTGATAAACTTATAAGTTGATCTTATCATTAGATATACATAGATAAACCTTGATAATACTGATTGTTTTATTTTTATCAAAATGAAAAAATAAATAAATAAATTGTAAATGGTCAAAAAAAATTTTTCAGAGTACCTTAATATTAAAATTAAAAATAAATACAAATTTTTGCTCACAATTTACGAAATATTCCAAAATATGCTAAATGGGTTGAATATTCTCCAACCCATGAAATATTCTCAAATATGCAAAAAAAACTTTTTTCTACGCATTCAGAATTGAACGAATCGTCCACATTTTTTACTCTCATAAGACTGCATAGACCCAGTAACGATATGTAAAAACATATAAATCCGGTCTTTAATTATTACAATTGTAAAATGTTAGAAATCAATATAATTGTTAAATGAAAAATAAAATTTAAAAAAAGATTAACTCTAGACATAAAATATTCTTAAAGCTTGTTTATATTATATACTATAAAATTTGTTTGAGTCTAAATAATTACCAATTGGTCAGCTAATAGTAGCACAGTTTTTATTGAAAATCTTCTGGAACAAAAATTGAAAAGATCCTCTAATGATGGACCTAGTAATTCCATTACCATAACATTGTAATCTCCTTCGGAACCGCACCATTTTATTATAGGTATTCCAGCTAAAATAAATATAAGAATTAAAAATAACAATACACTGAAATTGTCAAAAAGTTAATATTGTAACTTACGTGCTCTTGAAAGCATTTTGTAAATTTTGGATTCTATGTGCAATTGGGGATGCCTCGTTTTTATACATTCTAATTTAATGGCTACTTCTTCTCCTGTAGAAATATTTGTACCTACAAAAAAAAACCATAACAGTTGTGGTAAGTTACAAAAAATATTAGGTAAATTATGTAAATTTTTTTTTTTAGTTTATAAAAATAGGTTATTTTATAACTAGGGGTAGGTAACTAAGGAAAAAACATTTTTCCAAGATATGTTTCAACTACCTACTTACATAATAAATGATCAATAATAGGTAGGTAATTGTATACATTTTATTTATTAAGTTTTATGTTTTATTTCAGTTATAAACCCAAAAGTACAATTTCAGTTTTGTAATACTTATGTTTAAACCAATACTATGTTGAAGGTTCAAGCAGGGATATTGTATATGCCTATGAAATTATCAAAATATTCTTATTTCTAGCTAATAGTAGACATGAGAATTGCAATATAAACGATTTTGTTGCAAGTATTAAGGATGTTTAATTATTTTAATCATATCATTTTTAGTAAAACAGTGTTATATAGGAATAGGATGTTCAATTAGTACATCATAAAGCCTAAGTGGTTTGAATATTTATTAAGTTTTTTAGATTTTATCATACAATAAACATTGTCACTCCATATTTTAATTTTACATTTTTTAACTTCAATTTTTTTATAATAAACAGAATGCTATGATTATTTTTTTTATATACCTATTATTAATTATTATAGTAATAAATTATCTAAATTACCTATTTTCTAAACAATATTATTTTAATTGTAGGTTAGATGGCAATACTGTATTAAATTAAATCTTATGAAACCGACTAAATTATTTATGAATTTATCTTAATTAATAAGGTACATATTTTAACTAAACCATATTTTTAAGAAAATGTATTATTTTTCTACTCAATTTCAGTTACTTAGACATGCGTCAACTAAATTATTTTGCTAAAATTCATCTTTGAAAATATATTTTAAATCAACTTATATTTATTAATGGGATACTTTTGTACTGTTTTATAAAATCTCTTAACAAATAAATCCCATATCAAACTTTTTGATGATTACTGTCTACTGATTAGGTAAAAAAGGAAAAAATGAATTCATCCAACTAAAAATCTAAATTAAAAGTTTTCCAAAAAAGTTTTCTCAAACAAAACAAAGAAACAAACCATATGGACACAAAATCATCTTTAGGTATATTAGAAATTGGTAGATTCCACATGACATATAATTTAATGGAGACAAGGAATATGAATGGCAGTAGTAACTTGAGTGTGAAAAAAACTTTTACGACTACACGTACCAAACTTATGTTTGTCTCTTGTGATTTAAGTATGAACAGTTATTGTAAAACTCAAGTTATCATTAAAGTGGATGAGTGTTAGATAGTGGATTGTTTACAATAGTGGATGGACTAGGTCAAGTAGCAAGAAAAGCACCGTCGTAGGTAGGTATACACGAAACTAAAGACGTAGACAACGGGAAGACCACCGGTTCGATGGCATGAGAGAGGATAGTGATATTGAGTCAGCGGACTTGACAATCATCGCTAGTGTTTGACTGTGACGGAAGAACTCACCAAGGTAGATATCGCCAAACGAACCGCTACCGATTTTCCGTCCCAGCCGGTATTTATTGCCAACCCTCAGTTCCATCGCTCGTCGATCATCTAATACACCCAAAGTGTGGTGCGGAGCTGCTCTGGTGGTGGTGATGGTAGTGATTGTGATAGTGATGGTGGTGGTGACGGCGGCGACAGCAGCAGCAGCAGTGGCTGAGTGGCGGCGACGACGGATCACGGACGCGCAGCGGTGGTGTCAACAGGACACGGGCGACAGCGGCGACGACGCGACGGGGTAACGTGTGGTGGCTGTGGTCATTGTCCAGTCGTCCATCCAGCAAGGCGCATAGCGGCCATGTTGATTGTGTGTTGATTATAATTTGTCGACTCGTCTCCTCGTCGTGTGCGTGTGAGGTGTGTGTGTATGTGTGTGTGCGTGTGTATTATACGTGTGTGCGTGTCCGTCCGTGGGTACGTGTGTGTATGTATGTGTGTTGTAGTTGGTGTGCGCGTGTGGCGTGTATAATGTATATAATAGTTAGAGTGTGACAAAAGAGCTGTGGAGGAGTAGGAGGAGCCCGACCGCTGCCTCTGGTGGCCTTCTCTTTCTCTCTCACGGCGGCAGTTGTTTCTCTCTCATTTGGGCCTCCGTTGTCTCGCTTCCTCTGCCCTCTCCCGTCTCGATCGTCTTTCCGCCAAACTCGTTATCACCGTTCCCCGATGACTGACGGGACGTGGACGGACGGGCGGTCGGTCAGGCTGCCGCAACCGTGCGCGCACGCCGAACAGCTGTTTTCCCTTTTCGCCGCCGTCTGGGGCCACTTCGATTTATAATAATAATAATTATACTATTATATTAATAAAAAATATTATAACATCATTCTAAATTCTCATAACGTCGTTTTTTTTCGGTTCTCTCTTTCTCTTTCCACTTCAGTACGCGATTCTCGTACCCAGCCTGAAGGTTTAGTCTGAAATTATATTAATTTTGTCGTTTTTTTCAGCGATCCGTTCGTCTTCGGGCCGAGGGAAATTGTCGTTCGTCGCGTTTTGCCGTTTTCTCCGTCACGGCATCACTCGCGCTTGTCTGCCCGTCCGATCTGCGGGTACGGTGGGTCCCCGACAGAGATAACCGCTGTGATAACGAGCACGTCCTCCGCTACGCGAGCGCCATTTTTTTTTCACGTTTGAAATAAAACGCGTCGAAATGTAGACGGCTGGTCGATGGTTGTTACACGCAATATTATGTAATAATGTATATAATAATTATTTTTTACGCATCGACGCATAGTGGTGTTATGCGACATTTCCCTTTCCCCCGGTCGATCCTCGACCATAATATAATACATAATATTTTATCATTATTATCGTTTCTCTCCCTGCGGACCAGACGTCACTCATCATCGAAGAAAGGCGCTCCGATTATCACCGACATTACTGTTCTTATGTATAAAATAAAAATGTATTAATAACTAATACATAATATTATAAGAGGACTACACCTGGACTACGTTTATAAAATTGGTTACAGACAAAAATTATACATGTCTCACGAGACAAATTATACCGAACCGGCATATAGAAACTGGGTCCAACACTCCAACTGTTGACTAAATAGGTTATATAGGTGCAACAAAGGGAGGCTTGGGGTTGCTTAGCACCCCCCCCTCCCAGTTCAAGAATAACATGATTAATTATGTACTGTAGGCTTATGGTGGGCTGCAAGTTAATGAAAATAATTAACTGTAGCAAGTTACGTTAATTCAATTAAATTGCCTTCAGTTAAGTTAAAAGTTAACAAAAAATTTTAACTAGATAAGTTTAAAGTTCAGATAGAAAATAAACATTTTAATTTAATTTTTTTTTTAGGTTAGGTACAATATTTTTAAGTCATAAGCTGCACTATATAGACACTAGTACTTTGATTTACACAAACATTTATCAAGATGTTTAACGCTGCAGTATAAAAAATTATATTATTAACAATAATTACAAACAATGACCAAAATTGAAAAGATTCATCGAATCAGTATATATTGTATTATTGTCTATATTTAGTTGGTTTTGCATAAGAAAATTAATTTATCGACAATGACAATGATATTTAACTATAAAAAGTTAAGTTATTACAACAATAAAAATTTTAACTGAATAAGTTAATAAGTTAAAAACAAAAATAATAATTAGTTAACTTTAATTAATTAACTTTTTAACAATATAGATTATAATGCCCACAAAGGTCTTTGCCTACTAGTGTATTAAAATAATACCTAAGTGTAATGTTGCGAATAAAAAATACCTATATAGGTATACGGACTTTAGCTGCCACTACAATATGACATATATTATAATAAGAAAATTTTTAGAACTTAAGTATAATTATCTCGGTTAAATTTTTAAAAAGATTTAATAATTGTATTAAATTAAAAAACTGAAGATATAAATAGGTATACAAGCCATTATTAATATACATTTGCAAGTGAAGACAGGAGAATATAGCTTATTAATATATAGATAGTTACATATTATTAATATTTTATTTTGGTTATTTATTATTATTATTGTTATTGTTATTGCTAAAAATATTGTGAATTAAGTAATTTGTATAATATCAACACTAAATTTGAGGTCTAGTATTATTATATCTAGGTATTTATGTGTAAAGAAAACGCTGGTGCTACAGCGTTTATAATATATATGTATAGGTATTTTTTACTATTCGATATAACAATATATAATGTATGCTTGTGCACGAGTGACCAAATTTTAATTTAAAAGTTAAAATTATAATAAGACTTGAAAAAGAAGTACCTATACTTGCATATTCTTCTGACTTATATAATATATAAGACAGGAATTCGATCGGTTGCTGTCGTTCGTGATCAATATAGTAGGTATATATTATAGTATAAATTGAAACAGAGTATAAACACACATATATAATAGTATATATTATATTATGTATTCATACATGATACATAATAAAAAAATAAACTATTTTCGTTTTTATAGTTATTATTTTTCTTACCTATTAATTATTTTTTTAATTAAAAAAATTATGGGACAACTTCAGTTTAGTGTATGTCCGCATGTTCTAAATTCATTTTTTGTTCTTCCAAAATATTTAAAAAAATTGTTTTATTATTTTTATTTAATTATTATGTTTTTAATATTATTTATTACCTTTATATTATATTAACAGTGCAGTAAGTAAAAACAAAAAGTCTTGAAGAATGGGGAATAAATAAGTAATAACAATATATATATATTTTTTTTAATTGGTCTAGAGCCCGGCAACTATTATGCCCATTAGCTATTGTGGGGGTTATAAGTTATAACCCCACGTATACGGTTGTAACGGTACAATAAAATTAGCCCATTGGATGTTTTTTTTCAATTGTGGGGGAGGGTACTGTAGGTTTTTGGTAAACACATGTATTTGGTTAGGCAGAATTTCAAATTGGGTACCTGTAGGTTTCTTTTTTCTGCCATGGGGATGGCGGCCTCTCTCTCTTGACAGTTGCCTGCCAAGAGAGAGAAGCCGCCCGTGGTCGAGATTCGAACCAGCTACGGTACGCGTCAGAACCGACGCCGTATACTCCGTTCTCCATAACAATGTATTTGTTACTCCCATTTAGACGTGTATTGATTATACACACATATTTATTAGTCAGAAAAACTTCGTGTGCTGAAATTATGTAACAAAATTAACAATTTTGATTTTTTCTACGATTCTTCAACAATCAACATATATTGTTATGGTCTGTATATAATATGTTGTAACACTCTTAATTAATAATACTCTATGCATATTGCATATACGATTTATATACTTATAACTATTACTATTACTATTATCAATTATGTTGTTATTCTATTTGTTACTATCCAATTCATATAATCCACTGCAACTACCACGCGCTTCCTTACCGCCCCTCGGGTTCACCGTCACTTCCGTTATAGTTCCTCCGCGATCATCGACTCAGATGTCACATTCTTCTGTTCCGATACCCTCTTGGGCACCTCGATCTGCAGCTTGGCTTCATCGTCACTTGCCCATGCAACCCCACAGAACGAACAAGTGCTCGTCGTCGCTCACGGGCGGACCGGTTCTCTCTTCGTGGCCGGCAGCATTTCCATATTACGTGCTTTCGGTGGTCCTTCAACGATGGCTGATCTTTAAACTGCAAAGCAGGCGATTTTTACCCCCGGATATTTTCAACCCCATACCTGATAAAAATAACCTATATATTTACCGGGGGTAAAATAAACCTAGGATATTTATACCCCCTGTAAAATTTTAAGGGAGGTAAAATTATATTAGGTAAATTTACTCCCGGTAAAAATATAATACTAGGGTAATTTTACTTCCATTGTAAAATTGTAAGTCAGTGGGTAAAAATATCCTAGCATATAATTAAAAATCTGTTTAAAATATACTAGATTATATTTACCTACCAGGTGAATTTATAGTTGGATATATTTTATTGTAATCGTCTCGCATCTCTTCCGAAACGATCAACAATTTCTTCATAAAATTTGTTATTATTAATTAGGTCAATTATCGTAGATTACCTTTTCTACGATACTTAACGCAGTAATGTTTCATCAAAACTCAAAAGAAGTTGACTGATTTATTTCTATTTGGCTAGTTTCGGTTTCATTTTCGTTTATTTTAGCATTGTCAGGTTCTAGTTCTAAAAGAGGTTTTTTAAAGTATCTTCTCAAATCCATTTTATATCAAATTCGAACAACCGTTAAATATTTTCGATGGACCAATAGATTTATAAAGCACATCAACTAACGAATAACGGCTGACTTATGATCACGATGATAAAATATGATATGGATAAACAATTACTAATCAGTAATCACTTTATGTAATAGATAGAATTAGATAGGTAGATATTTTATGATAGAGAATATTATGCAGAAAGTTATTTAGCTATTGAAAGGCCTGATCTAAAAATACAATTATCAATCGACTGCAAAATATAATCTAATCTAATGTTTTTATAATGGCATTATTCATATAACCACTTTAAATTTGTTATATAGTATAAAGTAATTTATCTTAAAACATTCAATTTACAAAAATTATTTTGAAAAAGCCAGGGGGGCAAATGCCACAGCTCCCGCCTATTCCCCCCTCTCTACCAGTAAAAATGTGTTTTTAGGGGGGTACAAATATCCTATTTTATAAATTATAATTACCGACCAGTTAAGTATACTAGGATATACATATATATATATATGTATTTACCTACCAAGTCAGAATTAAATTACTTATGATATATATTATAATTTATTTCTATAAATCGATCTACAATTTAATCAAAATTACAACTTCAAACGTTGATAAAAAAAAATGTGTTCACGTGTTTTGTATATTTTTAAATTACTTTAACGAGTACGTTTTGTACTTATGTGGAATCTTGTATTAAATTGTCATACCTTTTGACTGAGAATAAACAAATAGATAAGGTACCTATACAACTATATGAAAAAAACCTAAAAAAATATAATACCTATTTAAAATATGTAGGTACTTATAAATAGCTTAAAATTAGCTAAATATTTTGAAAATTGTATAATGAATAGCAAATGTCTATTTGATGTAAATTTCAAGTTACTATGGCGAACTATTTTTGAACTAAAAATAAATCGTAAAATTTATATAGAACCTTTTATTGAAATCTTAGGTAAACATTTAAGATTGTTTAATTATTGTTTAAATAGTTAAAAATGTGTTACTTTTTTTCCTATAAAATGAATAATTATACTTTTTGCTAAAGCTTAACAAATAACATAGTAGCAGCTACTATAAGTCTTGTAATTTTAAAAATGGATGTTGTGAAATTAATTTCTATAGGTATTTACATACTTATTACTTACTTTAATCAACGATTATAGTAAGAACCAGATTAACCACAAAATTTTCTAATAATCATTTTAAATTTAATTTGGTATAATACCCTCTAAATTGTAACAAACAATAATCAAATACATTATCAGAATATAATATTAGGTATATACTTTAAACAGCGATCGTTAGTTATATGCTATAGTATAATTATTTTAAAATGTTCCCCAATGCACTAATTAGATTCACTTTCCCATCAAACAAGATACTGAAGTTGAAAATCAAAGCATTATTTCGACTACATATTGTGTACACAAACACAAAAAAAACATAAAAAATAAAATAAAAAATAAAAAAAATACATCATTGTAAAATCAATACATTCATAGCTCCGCTCAGAATCTAAATGGCAAATATTTAATTATTATCCAGAAATTTCTGGGGGGAGGTTTTATCACCCGCTGCAGCACACATATTTAACTAGCCTGACAGAACAATAGGTAAATGATAAGCACGCTAAGCAGCTCACTTAATATATTTCTTTCTTTATGGAATAGGTAAAACTACAGGTAAAAGATGCACCTGGTAAAGATGATGTAGGTACCTATAGCTATATAGGTACCCACTAATACTAATATATTATTCTATTATACAACATTATATTATATTATTATGATTCAGTAAAATTGTGTTTAGTTTTAAATTTTAATATAACATGTACGAATCTATTAATGCGGGCTGTGCCTGTAATAAATATAATAATGTAGGTACAAGGTTATATACTTTTGTCTGTCGTACACGTGCAGAAGCGTCTGCCAGTATAAAACCCAGACTTATTAGATTGAAATAAATAATTTTATCATTTTTCATTTCATCAACATTGAACATTCATATTTTAGTTTAATATTAAATATTTAAATCTAATATTTATAAAAATTATTAATACTATCAACTACTATGTAATATGTATGTCTTTTAAACAAATATTCACCGCCCACCAGCCCACTAAATTCAAAAGGAATTGTCAATCACAGTGAACGAGCGAAAGCGCCATATTTTGCTGCACCTGTGCCTGTGTGTATGATTTAAATTTAGTTATAGACAGTGGCGCCGAACTCAATTTAAAATGGGGTGGCAAACTAGTAAAAATTTACCAAACACCCACCCAGAACCGTTAAATTAAGCGGGCATTCTTAGGCCATACCTCAACGTTAACTTCAGACATTATAGTCATGTAAAATAATTTAGTTTTTGTCAGTTATTCATAAATACTAGTCTACGGTAGTGAACATTAAGCACAAAATAAATTTTTAAAAAAAATATAAATACCCATGAAAATGTTTGTATTTGTTCTCAATTACTTTTTCTAAAAAGTGTTACAACAACTCATCTTGTATGGATGTATTAGGTTCTCTGTTAACTTTTAATGTAATTTTGGCTAGACTAGTTTCTTTACCACATGTATTTAATTTTAATTTAAAATATTTTTTTTAGATTCTGAGTGAAACGATGAATGTATTGATTTTACAATGATGTGTGTTTTTTTTTAATTTTTAATTTTTTTTTGTGTCTGTCATCACGTTTTAGGACAGTAAAAGTGCTTGGATTTTCTTCAACAGTAGCTTTTCTGATAGGAAAATGAATCTAGTTGGTACTTTGGGGGTCAAAAATAAAAATGTCTCAGTAGTTTTCACAAGCGCCGGGAAAAACAACATAAAAATTAAGGAAAAACGGGAATTTTTTAGCAAAATCGGTTTTCCAAAAAATCGATTTTGGTTTTTGTTGTAACTCTAAAAGAAATGAACGTATATACATGAATTTTTCACTGGTTGTTTATATTTGCATTTTATATACACGATAACATTTTCAAAATATTTTGATTTATTTTGAACTGTTTAGGGACATTTGCATTTTCCATTTTTTTTTAGTTTTTTTTCTAAAAATAGCAATAACATTTTATTTGTTGGTTGCGAAAGCTTGAAAATTTAATAGAAGGCTTCTAGTATATTGTTTCAAAGGCAGATGAAAAATATTAAAAATCCTTAGTCGCAATTTTTTTTTAAGCATTTAAGTTCAAAAATTGACAAAATATGGAAAAATCACGAAAATTAGCAAATTATTTTGAGTTAAGAATTCGTAAAAATTTTTCTTTTTAAATCTAAGATGTGAACATGTAATAGAAGATTCCTTATAAGATTATCTACCTTTATCAAAAAAAAAATGTCTATAAGAAAGTCAAATTAAATTTTTATGAGCGTTTGAAATTCAAATTTTTACAACATTGGATATTCACTCGATTTTTCATGTAGCGATTTCCTTATTTTGTTGTAATTCAAAAACAAATGACTGTAGATTCATGAAAATTTCACTGAATATTTATATTAGCATTTCCTATACACCATACAATTTTGAAAATATTTTGACTCTTTTTGAGCTGTTTACGGATATTTTCATTTTTCAATTTTTTTAGTTTTTTTTTCTATGAATATCAATATAGTTTTATCTGTTGGACTAAAAATTGTAAAAATTGAATACAAGGCTCCTGATATATTGTTACAATATCAGTTGAGAAATATTAAAAATACATAGGCACAATTGTTTTTTATAAGCATTTAAAGATCGAATTTTGACAAAATTTATCAAATTTAAAATTGAATATATAATTTTGTAGTTAAAAATGTATAAAATGTTCAACTTTTATAATATAAAATATAAGATATTATCTAAAGATATCTAAGGATTGAAAATTTAAAACAAGATTCCACGTAAGTAGTAAATTCTGTTAAAAAAAAATCTAAAAAATACATAAGCACAGTTAATTTTTATAGTCATTTTAAGTTCAACTTTGGACAAAATTACATAAAAAAAACCTAGAATAACTATTTTAGTTATTTTGTTGTGATTGTGTAATATTATTCGTGGGTACTTGAAACTTTTAAAGTACACTATTATATATCTATGGAGTATGGACTATGATAGTATCAGGGTTTGTTGTTGACGTATAACGCATTATAAGTACCTAATGGATATTATGATATGATTGATTTGGAATTTATTATAGGTACCTATTTTAAGTAAATTTTTTTTGATACGATAGATAAGTATATACTATGTCTTATACCTAGACTGACACAATACCTTCTCCGCTCAGAATCGTTTTTCTTATACAATGATATTATATCATTGAATTAAAATTTAATACTATCCATTATACAGTGGCCTACTTCATACTTGTAACCTACTATACAGCAGAGCACCTTTTTATAATTTTATATCAATATATTATATCATTATTGGTTTTTACAGGAAAAAAGTTGGTTAAAATAGCCACTTCACAGTACTAAAAACCACTGACTGAAAATGTAAAAATAATAGATAACACAATTTAAACTGTTCACTATACGTCTATAGTGAATACGTCTATATACTACCTACTTCATTAATACACAGGAATACACGGTGTATAGACGTTACAGTCGTTACACTTTTGATTCCAAGTACTAATTTACTATCGAACACTCAGTATCTAGCTGCCAAATTTCTTCTGTTAGATATTTGCCCACCTGCATAACAGGACCCACCACCCACCCATTTAAAAGGGGTGGCGGTCGCCACCCTTACTATATAGGTTCGGCGCCACTGGTTATAGAAATATTTACACTTAAACATTGTATTACTGTAACACAAAAATGTTGTTAGTGTTCTTACATTGTCCATTGGTTATCGTCGTTTTTGACAGCAACACTAAATATATAGATATTTATCGCGATCTAGGGGAAAATATTTGAACTTATGTAGGGTAAAAGCACAGTAAAAGTGGTAAAAGTATGATATGAAATATTTTTTATTATGCATTAATTATTACTTCAAGCAGACAACACCAGATGTTGTAGCAGCTGTTTTTCTTATGAAAAGGACAAAGTGATAAGACATTCCGTGATATGAGTAATTTATATTATCAAATATTATGTTCTTCGTCTTTTATTTGGACTTATAGAAATAGACTATACAGTTGAATATTACTGGAATTTTTAAACCGTAGGCAAGTGACGTCTTCTACTACACAACTCAGTCATGTTGTCAAAACAGTTATGGAGGTCGTTCGCCGCAAGGAACAAAATCGTAAATGGCTTATTTAAACACAAGTAATGTTGTTACATTTTTCTTATAAATCAATTTTATGAGCGGTTAATCATTTTAACACTGGTTTTTAGTCAAAAGAAAACCCAGTCATCATCGATAGTCACTCGAAATGCATCCAATAGAAATTCTGATATTGATGCAGAGTTGAATAAACCTGTGAAATATACAACAAGTCCCGCGAACGATTGGAAGGCTCAACATTCTCGATTAGGAAGCAAGGCCGAATTTGGTCCATGGTATGAACCCCACGCTGTCAGTGCAAGCTTAATTTTATTTATGATATATTTTTTCATATTACGTGAAGAAAATGACCTCGATTTATTGCTGGATAAACCGTTGTCAGAGACATTAAAAAAGGAATAATTATTTAGTTATATTAGAATTTTATTAGGTATCTATAAATACATTTTAAATAGACCAATAAGTCATATTATGTACATTTGTATTGATTTTCAAAAGTAAATTTTTAAATTTGAATATGCTATACGTTCATACAAAATAAAAATTATATAATTATAAATTCAAACATGTGTATGTATATATTTTATTGAATCTGTAAGCTTAATAAAATATAATTTAATGAATGGATCAATCTGAAATAAAATGTAATATTAACCCCAATACTTTAAATTTTTAATCAGATAAGATTAAAATACAATAAACTTAATAACAAATAAGACTATAAATTAGAAAAACATTTGAAATGACTTGAAGAGGTGTGCACAAAAGACCTTTGGACAACTATGTGAATTTTTTTTATGTGTACACAATTGTATGGATATTTTATATTATTAGATGTTATTGTGTTTATATGTCTAATATTTAAAAGTGTTATAGGTATGTTGTACTTACTAAATTAACTATAAACATTTGATTGCTAATTATAAATTAAAAATTCTAAATTCATCTTTTATATGCTTGGCATGGAAGTGTGACTAGTAACTAATAGTTACTATTGTAATATCATTAATTTTAATAACGTACATTTGTAGATAATATTATGTTAAGATTATTATTTATAAGTGATAATTTTTGTGATAATCTTATGTGTTTAATTTGCGCATTTGATGGTAAAAGTGGTAGTGTTTAAAAGTATGTTAACCCATGGCCACTGCACCTGAATAATTATTGGAAACTTGAAACTGAACAAAAGTTTAAACCATAGACATATTAATAAAACATTATTATCAATATGCCTATGGTTTAAACATGAATACTAATAATATTATCTATAACTACCTTACTGATAGTGTCTGTGCATACGCTTGTGTTTAAGATTCTAAAAACATTTTTCGATCACTTAAATATTATTTGTTTTTCGGTACCAAAGTAGTTGGGACATAATTATATAAACATAAATTAAACAAATTAATAATTATTTTACATTTTCATAATCAAAACTATGATAGAATAAATATTTATTATGATTATTTTATCTTTAATAGTACACTGTTAATCTGAACTTCTGACATCCAAACTTAAATTATCATCTGTGACACTAACCATAACATTATGGACGAATAGGACAATTTTATTAAACAAGTTTTTCTAGTACCTAATTGGGGCTGGTGGAGAAACAATGCCTCCAGCTCTCGATAGTACTCGATACCACATAAAAAAACGTATCTTTAATAGAACATAATGTTCTAATATAAGAATAAATATTGTATAATGCTAGTCACAAAACAAATAATAAGAAATGTTTTTTTATATGTTATAAATAAAGCACTGAAGCAATGGATAAATAATATATTCATCACAAAATACTGAAGAGTGAAGACCAACAGTTATTAGCTGCCTACCACCTCCATAAAACCACCATCTGTACACATCTGTACAGTGGCGTAACTAGGATTTTAGGGGCTCGTGGCATAAAATTTCCTGAGCCCCCTAATTTTTTTAAAATAAACAAAGGATAGCTCTAATAATTGGTCTTTGGTCTATAATATGTGGAATTTATTTAAAAAACCAAAACAATATTATAATCATATTTATTATTGTATTGTGAAGTTTGTAATCTAATATAAAAAATAAGGTCCCGTAGCGTTTGCCCACCTGGTATTTATGTTACTGCTTCTGTAATACCAAATTATACTATTTAAGTATCTGACTATCAAATAATAATACTATCCAAGTTATTTAGAAATTAAATTTAGATTCACCAATCAATATGTTGTATAGCTTATTCAGTCTTGTGGACTTGAGTTATTTCAATCGTTTCTAACTTAATCAGTAATAATTTTATATATTTTAAGGGCCGTTCTTACAATGTCCAGTGAAAGTTAACGGACACTTATCCGGCAGAATTCTGCTGGTAATAAAATATGTTATCAGTCGGCTAACGCTAACGGTATTTTAGATTTTAGTGCTTTATAAGTTTTCATTTATTGTAAATATTTTCTGTATAAGATGGTCATGGTGACATGGTGTTTAGTAGTGTATAGATTGTTAATAACAATTTTATTTATAGGAAATAATATTATAAATAGATGTATTAACATTGCTGTTTCTATAAAAAAAAAATGTCTATTGTAATGGAATTATTGGCAGTAACGTTACATATTATAATTATTAATTCCAATATATTTTAATATAATATATAATATATTATAGTTATAATATAAATATTTTAAAATCTATCGATCATTCTTAGTAGCCAGTAGTGCCAGTAGTGGTACAGGAACCTGTACCTCGTACCTATACAAGATAATCTATAAATATATTATGAATATAAAGCACTGAACTCTATACAGTATACAGTTCAGTGATATAAAGTGTACACTTGTACTCCTGACTAAAATATATTTGTGTAGTTTATTGATTCTTGTTCATTAATGTGATGCAACCGCCATATATAATCAAAATGTGTCTAAAAATAAATTACTAAAATTCTCATTGTGGACAGCATATTTATCCATGATAAAATGTATTAAATAATAATAACATCTATATTGAATTTATATTTATGATTATGGTATATTATGAGTACGTATACTGATTACAACATCTCTGACTGTTTTTTTTTTCCAAAAAAAATGTATTTTACCACTGATCTAGACGGTAAATATAGATGGGTATTGCAGGGGTGGATTTTTTATAAATTAGGTGAAAAATCTCATTCACTAAAAATGTTTCACTAGAGTACTAGACCAGTTACTGTTAAGAGGACTTTTACCGGCATAGTGTGTTCTACACTTCTACCCGTCTATTACCAACGTAGCAAATCTTACAATTAATAATTCATTTTGCTCTTTTATTTTTAATATTGGAGTAAATTTAACTTTTTTTTTTTATTTTATCAAATTTAAAAGTAAAAATATTATCTATACAGACCCTAGGGAACTTTGTAGATTGTTTGTTGGTATTTAATTTTTAATCAAATTATGAGAATTTTTTAATTTAAGAACTGAATTTAATACAGTAACTGTAGTAATTTATTTATTCAAAAATTAAAATATAATTATATTGTAACAAATTATTTAGGTACATTAAAGGATGACTTCTATCCTTTAGTTTTGAAAATGGGTCAACAGCTTATGTAAATTGACCAAAAAAGCTTCATAATCGATTATTTTTAATGTTTTCCAAATGTTGTTCAATTCTTTGGTAAGAGTATAGTACCTACATAAAATACGAACTATCAAATTTTGGTATATAACTTGTATCGAACTATGTCAACTATGTAATCGAACTTGTATCATAATATAATAATACTATGTTGGAAATATGAAATCAAATTTTTATTAAAATTAAAATTGTTGAGATAAAAACTTTGAGAACTCACCTTAAAATATACTTCTATATAAATTTAACTATCAAAAATATTTATCTTACTTATCTAACGACAAAAAGTTTCTCAAGAAGTCGTCTAAAACAGTTACGTTTTGGTGGCAGGATCTCTATCACTATTTTCCCTTCCATCTAGATGAGAAGAAGCTCTGCAATTTTTCAAAATATATATGAATATTGTGTCTAGATTTAACAGTTGTCAGCAGGACCGGATTAAGAGTTTACCGGGCCTGGAGCCCAGTAGTCCAAAGGGCCCTTAATTCATACACTATTAATTACCAATAACTGAATTTTATTTATTTAAAAAAATGATACAAATTAATTGATTGTAGGTACAGATATATCTTTTTTAATCTTTAAATATTAGTTAATTTTTGTTACATACAAATATACAACATTATTGTTTAAATGTCAAAATAAAAATAAAATATTTTAAAATTAACTTTATTAGGTACCTTATTTTATTTTATTTTTTTGAAACTCCACAATTATTTCATCTGTATTTATTTCTTTAAGTAGAGATCTCTCAATGGTCATTAATGATAAAGCGTTCAAGCGTGGATTTTTCATGGTAGACCTCAATTCGTTCTTCACTCTTTTCAATTTTGAAAATGCTCTTTCTGCACTGCAGTTGGCAACTGGAAGACATAAATACAATCTATATGCTACTTCCACATTAGGAAACACTGAATTGAGTTTATTATCGTGTATAATTTGAAGACATTTTAGTGCTGGTGGCATTTTAATTTTTCCTTCTTCATCTTCCTCATCAACTAATTTGGTAAAATGTATCATTTCTTCGGGAAAAATGTCACAATCAAGGTCGTCCGGATATATTTTACCAAGATATTTTGCCATATCCACGATTTCTTTCTCAGTCATAGATTTAAAATAAGTAAGAAACCCAGACTTTCTATCTAGATCGTTATATTGTTCAAGTCTTTTTAGCAGGCATATATCTAATTTGTCCATTATAACTATAAATGTTTCAACTCTAAACTTCTCCTGCCTAGAAAAACTGGTCTCTTCTTCATTTCGAATCATTTCATCTGGAGTTAATTTACGAATTATTTTTCTTTTTTTTTCAGTATTATACTTTTTAGAAATAACTTTAGAAAGAGATAATGCCACTTTTTCTATATCATTGAAATTGTTTCTTATTGAACCAATATACTCCCGTAAAGATTTTAAAAGCTTAACAGCGACTGATAAATCAAGTGACTTCTCTTGTAATTTAACACTAGTTTTATCAAATCTTTCCAAAATTCTGTTCCATGGTACTGTCATAAAAGCAATATCAAGTGATGTCATTTTGTTAATTATATTTTGTGCTTCGTTTCGTGCATCTTTTTTTATTTCCGTATTTTCACTTAAATATTTTAAACGATTAAGTATGGTATCATAATTCTCACAAAGTACTTTAGTACTTGAATGCAAACAAATTATATTTTATCATACTATTTTTATATTAGGTATAATATAATATCATAAGGTCCTATTATTCCAAACCGATATTACTGCTCGCACGTAAGCAGGTGGTATTAAGCTAGCACACTGCGTAATACATATAGTAAAAATACGAAAATTTTATTAAAATAAAATTTAAACTTAAATTATTTTGAACTTGGTCTGAAATAAAAGGCCCCTTCGGGGCCTTCAATATTTCAGGGCCTGGAGCCCGGGCTCCCAGGCTCCGTGCTTAATCCGGCCCTGGTTGTCAGTTTTCCATAGTCTTTCTTTGTTTTGCATGGGATGTCATTTCCGGATTAATAAAGAATTCTGAGTGGTTGATATTTTGTGAATGAATGCATGTCTACTATCCATCAGATTCTGAGCATAGCGAATTCCCAGCACTTTTTAAAATAGGTACATAATTGCAAATAACCGGAAGACTAGTTTTTGACAAAATCGATTTTTTTTTTTTTTATCGTAGGTAATAAAAAAATTGCTTGGTGTAAAGACTTGACTTCTTTACCGGATATTTATAGACATGATAATAAAATTTTCAAAATAGTTTGACTGAATTTGTGCTAATTATAGACATTTCATTTTTTTTTTTAAGATCGAAAATAGGTTCCAGGGGCTTAGGTATTTACATTTTGAATATTAGCAAAATTTGAATTATTTGGTAAAATATATTGATTGGTGTATGTATACCATAATATGGTGTGTCCAGTAGGTTCGTATTAAGTATGTTTAAACTTTAATTAAAATATACGTATTTATATTTATACGTCTATACCATTTACTTTAAGAGTTAAGGTGCAGTTGGATACGTGATATATGTCCATGTTTTCACTTTTAACCTTCCACCATCAAGTCCTCGCAATAAAACAATTCTAAAAATATATTAATAAATGCATTATGTACCTACGTGTTTTCTAACAACATTATGTGCTATATTTTTAAATGCACTGAATGAGGTCCAAAAACGGATTCATCAAGTTCAATTGTGGATATTGTATGAATACTTAATGTCTATAGGTATATATTATATGTTTATTTTTTAATTTTGGAGCAACCTGAGATTTGTATTTAAAAATATATAAATGTGCAGACGTGCACGTAATAAATAGAGTATGATAAATTAATAATTAAAGACTTTTTGTTAAAACGAGGAGGCAAAATTATTGTAACTATATTTTTTTGTTTAGGTATTTAAACTTATATATTTTACATTTCGATGAATTATTAATAAAAAAATCCCCTTAAACTTAAAATACGAAGAAATTTATTTATATTTAGTTTTCTGGAATCCTTGTAGGTTTCTTCAATATTTATTTAACAATTGTTTCAAGTTCTAAATTGTCTAATAATAAACCATTGCCTATATTATATACGATCACTTAAACAGCTGATTTAACGAAAAATTTGACTACAGTTATTAGTTGTTAAATACAATTCGAGGATATTTTTTCCCGAGTGCATTATGCGGTATTAACATTTTATTTATCTACAATGAATAGTGATTATAAGTAAGTGCATGCAATATGCAAATCGAGAGTTGTGCCTCCCCAAATACTAACTTTCGTTTTTAGAGACGAGTATATTAAAAATCATGAATATCACGTTTAATCTGGTCGCATATTTTAATCCTTATACGAAACTATATACTTAATATTATTTGTCTTATTTAGATATTATGGATTCATGTTATGGAACAGTTAATTAATTATTTCTTATTGTATAAATTCTATAATACGTAACTGGAATATTTATATCAATATAATTTGTTTCTTGCGTTAAGGCTTTCTTCCATTGTGCTCTACTTCTATGTTTGATTAAACTCAATACATTTTCAATTAGGATGTGACGCATTTCCTAAAGCACACCGTCGAAAAGATTAGGTATAGACGTATAGCTGTTGCAGATTGCAGATGGTCCTAATAAATAAGTTGCAATCCATTCAGTATAATAATTTATGGCTGTTTAGCTGTTATAGTTACTAGTTAGTATAATAAAAATAATAATAATAGTATAATAATAGGTATAATTTTAATATTTATTTTTTAAACATTTTTTTGTAATTACTTACCCACTTAAACGAATACGATTGCTCTGATTATTTCAATGTTGGTTTATCTTTACAACTCTTCCAAACTCTGTGACACATGTGAAAGTAACCAGCGTATAATACCTAACGTTTATTAATAGGTACCTAATTAATATAACACGTTAAACTGGGTTGACATTATTAATTATTTTCTTAGTATCTACTATTACTTATTATAGGTATTATCTGAATTTAATCATCTGTTTTTGTAAAATATACTTAATCAATTTGATTTTTAGATTTTTAAATTTTCGTCATTTTGATTTAATTTTAATTTATTGTTAAATTCAATTTAATATTCCAAGCGCGTATGTGATTTGGGACAGTATAATAAAGCTTAAAAGTTAACATCTCGACATATTCCATATGTTGAACAATGTCGTAGGTCACTTTTTCCTAGCAAAAAAAAAAAAATATGCGAAAACAGTGAAATTTATGTCACATACCTAGGTATAGGTTTTAACATAATCTTGAAAATTAAAAAAGAATAATGCATTACTATAATATGATGTTGTTCTGAAGTGAAAGAAGTGGACGAGTACCTAAATTAGGAATCTTTGACCGGACAGCTTTTTTTCTATATACCATTTTTTAGTTTTCTTTTTATTAATTTGGAGATATCGTTGATAGCATTTTTCAAATAATAATATGAACAACGAACATTTTTAGATTATAATTTGGTGTTTCAATTTAACCCATAGATAGAGACATAGAATCAGAGATACCTAAATACTTAATACCTACTATTGAATATCTATATAGACAGTATTATAAATTATAATATTATATATTATTACTATCTATACTCAATGCTAATACAGTTTTATACCTAGGTAGGTACAATGTACTTATTGTAAGTTCCTAGTTATTATAGTGCATCTGTGATTCCGAGGTGCATCCTTATTTTACGGTAATTCATTCTTTCACTCTACACTTATATTATAGATACACTTTATATTTCTGTTATTAATATGAATCAATAACATAATTATTATAATTACTTTATACTTAAAATATATTTTTAATTCCTGTTTATTAAGTGCCAATGTCGATAACCTTTTGACGTAAGGAATATAAAATTGTGTAGCAGAACCTTGTCCATGACAAAATACAATGATATGCATGATAGATGGATTTCCGGTTTCCTATTAATACTAAATAGTTAAGAGCATGCGTATCAATGAAAACAAATTATCGTATCAGAGCGGTCTTTATTATTTTCCGAGCAGGCCATACATAATATGATATATCGTGTGGATATTTTTTTCTGTTCTAGTAAAAAAAAAAGTGAATTGACTTGCCACCCGTAGTGCTATGATATTATTAAAGTAATAAAATGAGATGAGGTCACAGGTCATATTAATATATTATACAACATATAATATTATATTGAATAGATGTATGATATTTTTTTTATAGATTTTTTTATATTCCATGATCTACACTTCCTTTTAAACTTCCGATATTTAAAGTAAGTGTGATTTGTTTTATTATAATATGATATAATTATTTTAAAAGGTAATAATAATATTAACTTGTCCATCTCTATATATTTAAGTGTAGGTAGTTACTAGTTAATTGTAAAAAATAAATATAACGATTTTAATTATTTAATTAATACGATATTAGGTACAAGCAGATATCTAGATTCTAGGCCATCTAGCCATTTGTAAGTTGTTTGTACATATTATACAAATTAATAATTAATTATTAAATTGCATGTTCAATAAAATGTATAAGGAAAACAATTATTTTGTACAAATTTAAATTATGTAACTTCATAGTAAATTAAAAGGATAAAATTGAAGAAAAAACAATTATTGACGAGGTATTTGAACGAATGACTATTTATTGTCTTGCATTCATATTTGTCATTAAATTTAATTAACTAAATTATCTCGACTGTGGCTTTTAGTATCTTAACATATTATAAAACAAAGTCCCTTTTTCTCTCTGTATGCTTAGATCTTTAGATCTTTAAAACTACGCAACGGATTTCGATGAGGTTTTTTTTAATTGATAGAGTGATGCAACTCATAGGCGTGCGCAGACTTTTGGTTCCGGGGGTGCACACTAAATATTAGGGCCCACAATAATTTTGAAAATAATTATAGATACAGACAAATGATTTAAAGATATTAAATGCAATAAAAATATTTTTTTATTATTATTCGTTCTAAAACATATTACATAACAATACATAAATATATAGAGATATACAATCTTTAATCTTATAATGATAATCGACGTTTAAAATGAACAACATTTTTGAATTCGTCAATAATTTCATTAAAATCTAATTTACATGCTAGTTCTTGTTCTGTGAATATTAGTAGTAATGATTCTAGTCTATCTTGGCACATAGTACATCTGAGTTTATTTTTTACAATGCTTAATTTGGAAAATACCCTTTCACATGTGCAACTTGTTACTGGTATTATGGTAAACATTTTTAATACTAAATACATATTGTTAAAAATGTCTAACCGTCCACTCTCTTTTAACCAATCTAACCACACATAAATAGATTCACTGGATGTACCACTTGGTACATCAGGCATATGTTTGAGAATTTTAATTTCAGTTACCAGTTCATCGATTGATATATTGAATAATTTAGATAAAATATTTGAAAAACTGTTATTTAATTCTAACTTCAATAAATTTCCCACAGCACTAATCAAATCTAAGTTCTCTTGATTGAATCTTATGCTTAAACCATTTACAAGATTATCCATTAACGGATTAAATACAGAAC